GCTATGACTCTTTGACCACTATGTGTATTTTGTTTAGGACAAATACTGTATTCCTATAGAGGTAAACTACATATAACAACGCCTTGAACAGTATTACTATAGAGACATAGCCTTGTATTCATTACTGATGCCAAAGGTTAGCTAGAGAAATAGAGACATAGTCTGGCATTCATTACTGATGCCAAAGGTTAGCTAGAGAAATAGAGACATTGCCTTGCATTAATTACTGATGCCAAAGGTTAGCTAGAGAAATAGAGACATTGCCTTGTATTCATTACTGATGCCAAAGGTTAGCTATAGGAATAGAGACATTGCCTTGTATTCATTACTGATGCCAAAGGTTAGCTAGAGAAATAGAGACATTGCCTTGCATTAATTACTGATGCCAAAGGTTAGCTAGAGAAATAGAGACATTGCCTTGCATTAATTACTGATGCCAAAGGTTAGCTAGAGAAATAGAGACATTGCCTTGCATTAATTACTGATGCCAAAGGTTAGCTAGAGAAATAGAGACATTGCCTTGCATTAATTACTGATGCCAAAGGTAAGCTAGAGAAATAGAGACATTGCCTTGCATTACTGATGCCAAAGGTTAGCTAGAGAAATAGAGACATTGCCTCGCATTAATTACTGATGCCAAAGGTTAGCTAGAGAAATAGAGACATTGCCTCGCATTAATTACTGATGCCAAAGGTTAGCTAGAGAAATAGAGACATTGCCTTGAATTAATTACTGATGCCAAAGGTTAGCTAGAGAAATAGAGACATTGCCTTGCATTAATTACTGATGCCAAAGGTTAGCTAGAGAAATAGAGACATTGCCTTGCATTAATTACTGATGCCAAAGGTTAGCTAGAGAAATAGAGACATTGCCTTGCATTAATTACTGATGCCAAAGGTTAGCTAGAGAAATAGAGACATTGCCTTGCATTAATTACTGATGCCAAAGGTTAGCTAGAGAAATAGAGACATTGCCTTGCATTACTGATGCCAACGGTTAGCTAGAGAAATAGAGACATTGCCTCGCATTAATTACTGATGCCAAAGGATAGCTAGAGAAATAGAGACATTGCCTCGCATTAATTACTGATGCCAAAGGTTAGCTAGAGAAATAGAGACATTGCCTTGCATTAATTACTGATGCCAAAGGTTAGCTAGAGAAATAGAGACATTGCCTTGCATTAATTACTGATGCCAAAGGTTAGCTAGAGAAATAGAGACATTGCCTTGCATTAATTACTGATGCCAAAGGTTAGCTAGAGAAATAGAGACATTGCCTAGCATTCATTACTGATGCCAAAGGTTAGCTAGAGAAATAGAGACATTGCCTTGCATTACTGATGCCAAAGGTTAGCTAGAGAAATAGAGACATTGCCTTGCATTAATTACTGATGCCAAAGGTTAGCTAGAGAAATAGAGACATTGCCTTGCATTCATTACTGATGCCAAAGGTAAGCTAGAGGAGTGGCATAATAGAATACTTGCAATACTTTTATATGACAATCACATGCTTTTCTAATCAATGATATCACATATAGCTACGTGTCATATATCTGTATCATTATCTGTAATGTCAATGTGCAAATAACATTGTTTATACCTTGTCAATATCATATCCCGGTATCTAGTAGCTGGATATCTGTGTGAGTAGTCATGATCTGTAGCTTGATATCTGTGTGGGTAGACATGGTCTGTAGCTGGATATCTGTGTGAGTAGACATGGTCTGTAGCTGGATATCTATGTGGGTAGACATGGTCTGTAGCTGGATATCTGTGTGGGTAGACATGGTCTGTAGCTGGATTTCTGTGTGAGTAGACATGGTCTATAGCTGGAAATCTGTGTGGGTAGACATGGTCTGTAGCTGGATATCTGTGTGAGTAGACATGGTCTGTAGCTGGATTTCTGTGTGAGTAGACATGGTCTGTAGCTGGATATCTGTGTGGGTAGACATGGTCTGTAGCTGGATATCTGTGTGGGTAGACATGGTCTGTAGCTGGATATCTGTGTGGGTAGACATGGTCTGTAGCTGGATATCTGTGTGGGGAGACATGGTCTGTAGCTGGATATCTGTATTAGTAGACATGGTCTAGTAGCTGGATATCTGTGTGGGTAGACATGGTCTGTAGCTAGATATCTGTGTTAGTAGTCATGGTCTAGTAGCTGGATATCTGTGTGGGTAGACATGGTCTAGTAGCTGGATATCTGTATGGGTAGACATGGTGTGTAGCTTGATATCTGTGGGTAGATATGGTCTCTAGCTGGATATCTGTGTGGGTAGACATGATCTGTAGCTGGATATCTGTGGGTAGACATGGTCTAGTAGCTGGATATCTGTGTTGGTAGACATGGTCTGAAGCTGGATATTTGTGTGAGTAGACATGGTCTGTAGCTGGATATCTATGTGGGTAGACATGGTCTAGTAGCTGGATATCTGTGCAGGTAGACATGGTCTAGTAGCTGGATATCTGTGTTGGTAAACATGGTCTGTAACTGGATATCTGTGTGGGTAGACATGGTCTAGTAGCTGGATATCTGTGTTGGTAGACATGGTCTAGTAGCTGGAGATCTGTGTGAGTAGCCATGGTCTAGTAGCTGGGTTTCTGTGTGAGTAGTCATGGTCTAGAAGCTGGATTTCTGTGTGAGTAGCCATGGTCTAGAAGCTGGATTTCTTTGTGAGTAGCCATGGTCTAGAAGCTGGATTTCTTTGTGGGTAGACATGGTCTCTAGCTGGATATCTGTGTGGGTAGGCATCGTCTGTAGCTGGATTTCTATGTTGGTAGACATGGTCTGTAGCTGGATTTCTGTGTGAGTAGCCATGGTCTAGAAGCTGGATTTATTTGTGGGAAAACAATGTCTAGTAGCTGAATTTCTATTTGGGTAGACATGGTCTTTAGCTGGATATCTGTGTGGGTAGACATGGTCTGTAGCTGGAAATCTGTTTTGGAAGACATGGTCTGTAGCTGGATATCTGTGTTAGTAGACATGGTCTAGTAGCTGGATATCTTTGTGGGTAGACATGGTCTGTAGCTGGATATGTGTGTGGGTAGACATGGTCTGAAGCTGGATATCTGTGGGTAGACATGGTCTAGTAGCTGGATATCTGTGTTAGTAGACATGGTCTGTAGCTGGATATCTGTGTGGGTAGACATGGTCTGGTAGCTGGATATCTGTGTGGGTAGACATGGTCTAGTAGCTGGATGTCTGTGTGGGTAAAATATATCTAACAGCTGGATTTCTGTGTGGGTAGACACAGTATGTAGGTGGATATCTGTGTGGGTAGACATGGTCTAGTAGCTGGATATTTGTGTGGGTAAACATGGTCTAGTAGCTGGATATCTGTGTGGGTAAAATATGTCTAGTAGCTGGATTTCTGTGTGGGTTGACATGGTCTAGTAGCTGGATATCTGTGTGGGTAGACATGGTCTGTAGCTGGATTTCTGTGTGGGTAGTCATGGTCTGTAGCTGGATTTTTGTGTGGGTAGACATGGTCTGTAGCTGGATATCTGTGGGTAGACATGGTCTGTAGCTGGATATCTGTGCGGGTAGACATGGTCTAGTAGCTGGATATCTGTGTTGGTAGACATGGTCTGTAGATGGATATCTGTGTGGGTAGACATGGTCTGTAGCTGGATATCTTTGAGGGGAGACATGGTCTGTAGCTGGATATCTGTGTGGGGGAACATGGTCTGTAGCTGGATATCTGTGTGGGGGAACATGGTGTGTAGCTGGATATCTGTGTGGGGAGACATGGTCTGTAGCTGGATATCTGTGTTGGTAGACATGGTCTAGTAGCTGGATTTCTGTGTGGGTAGTCATGGTCTGTAGCTGGATTTTTGTGTGGGTAGACATGGTCTGTAGCTGGATATCTGTGGGTAGACATGGTCTAGTAGCTGGATATCTGTGTGGGTAGACATGGTCTGTAGCTGGATATCTGTGTGAGTAGACATGGTCTGTAGCTGGATATCTGTGTGGGGAGACATGGTCTGTAGCTGGATATCTGTGCGGGTAGACATGGTCTAGTAGCTGGATATCTGTGTTGGTAGACATGGTCTGTAGCTGGATATCTGTGTTGGTAGACATGGTCTAGTAGCTGGATATCTGTGTGGGTAGACATGGTTTAGTAGCTGGATTTCTGTGTGGGTAGACATGGTCTGTAGCTGGATATCTGTGTGGGGGAACATGGTCTGTAGCTGGATATCTGTGTGGGTAGACATGGTCTGTAGCTGGATATCTGTGTGGGGGAACATGGTCTGTAGCTGGATATCTGTGTGGGTAGACATGGTCTGTAGCTGGATTTCTGTTTGGATAGACATGGTCAAATAGTGTGATTTCCCTGTAAGTAGGTACGTCTAATGACTGGAATTCTGTGTGGGTTGACATGTTTGTTGCACTAAAGAAATTAAGGGAATGTGGATTTACTTGACATTTGAAACTAGAAAGGAGATTTCTAAATTGGTTAAACCAACAGGAAGGAACTCCTGGAAAAATTATTACCATATTATCACACATGTCTGCTTTACATGTTTATGGTATTCTTTTTTTTAATCACTTCTAACAATTGAATTGTTCTATGATGGTTTGGCAGAAATGACATTTCATCTCTGGAAAGTTTGTAAGCATAGATAAAATTTGTTGTATATTTAATGATTTTTGAGAGAATTGGCAATGACATTCATAAAGATTACTGATTTCACCATAACGTGTGATAATATGATTATTGCAATAGACCAACATTGATAGTTAAAACTGATTATTTTGATTTAATGAATGTTTAAAGGTCAGAGATGAATGATAATTGAGGACTGCTATGACCTTCAGATGTTTGATCAAATAAAATCCATCTTGTTAATGTTTTCTAGTAAAAACCAGCTTGTTATATTTGTGCTACTTTGAAGTCTCAAGCTGGCAATACCCAACCAACCTTCATTACCAGCTCCTGTTTATTTTTCAGATGGAGCCAAGAATTTGCTGAAGCAGGCTTGTATCAAACTGTTGTAACCATGGTGACCGACAATGCTGGCTCAAACACCATTGAAAGCCTCCTTCTGGTTCAGGAGACCATCACTGGTTTACGGTTGACTGGACCTCAGATGATTAAAATTGAGATGTAAGATTTACATTTTTACATTTTAGAAACAAATCTGTGATGCACATACACATACCGAAAAATGTCTTCATTTACATTTTATCTTTAAAATCTGGGCTTAGGTTTGTCTTTCATGATATGCTTTAACATAATTAAATCACATAGCTATTTATAAGAGCTAATTTTACATATGTTTGAAAAGACAAAATATGAAATATTAATATGTTTTAATTCTGTTGAAAAGTGTAAGCTTCTGAAGTGCTGCCAAACTAGGGACAATTTATTTGTTTATTTTAGATTAAGTGGATCTCTCTAAGTCTGTAGAAGGCAGCATGCTATAGTTTTCCTGCTTAGAGTCCAGGCAGCCATATTACATCTGATTCCAAGTCAGAATGTTGGCCTTTTTAAAGGACTTGTTGGTAATATTACTGACCATAGATGGGCTTATTACCAAGCAGGGGTTTTATTTCTGGCTTAGGGTTTACATTTTTTCACCATTTTATCTGTAGGTTTCTACCCTGGCCTCAATTTATTATGATTTGTTGTTGAACTTCTGTGTTCTGTAGGTAGACTACAATCATACCTTGCATCAGATACAATGGTATCAAATTCACATTAAATTGGCATCATGTGTTAAAAATGCTACAGGTGAGCCAAGTTTCCGGTTTTAAGTGTTTGTACTTTGAGTTGAGGAGTATCATACGTATAGAATTATATCTTCAATTTCAAGATAAATATTGACCTGACAGAGGAAGACAGTCTAGAAATGTGTTAAATTTTACTGTAGAGTGGTGCCATGCACTTTTGATAGTTTAAAAGGATAGCGATTTATTGTACATGGCTTGCAACATCAAACAAAATACTTTAGGAAGGATCTGAATGTATTCCTCCCCGTCATTGCACTTCTGAATCAGGCCATCACTGGTACCTAAAGGTTGATGTATAGAGGCTTCCATTGTTGGATTCCGTGGACAGCAGGCATTAGTAATTATAGTCTTTACAGCAGAATAACTATCAGCATTTATTGCAAAGTTATGAACCCAAAATATTCGGGTATCTCTCTACACGTAAGTGGAAATGGTATATTATTGCATTTGATTTTATTGCCATGTATGACATTTGATTACTTTATTACATAAAATGACTTCTCTCTTTTGAAATATGATATGCCATGTACAAATCAAGTGGATGTTTCCTTTATGTAGAATATATATATATAATTATTCTTCTGAAAGTAAATAAGTTTTCAAAAATAAAAGAGTAAAAGCTAAGAAATACTGAAATAATTTGAGGTAGGGTAAAAACAAGACAGTGGCTACGTATGTAATGAGAAAGTAAAACCTAGAAAGCTAAACAAAATACAGGAGTGTAAGTCCTAGGTATGTGTGATTTCCTGCATATATACAGAAAGGAACGATTCCTGCCATCTGTTTCCTCCGATATGTTTATAAACACAAGCAAGCTGTGTAACTTAGTAATATTCCTGCTAGTTAATTCACATCTTATGTCATTTAAGCCAGCGGAAACTTCAAATTTCATTGGCAGATCTCAGGAATGTTTCTGAGGGAGAAGCCATTTCTCTTGTCCAAACTTAGACTTTTCTAGAAATTTCATTCTTGGATTTCGAGGATGTTTCTTAGGAGAGCTTTTTTGTCCAAGGCTACACTTGGCCTGAAGTTCCTTGTATAAATTTCAAGAATATTTCTGTGGGAAAAGTCATTTCTCTTGTCCAGGCTTGTACTTTTCTTTTCACTGATTTTAAGAATATATCTGAGGGAGAAGTCACTTCTCTCGTCCAAGCCTTCACTTGACTTCAAATTCTTTATTTCTGGAATGGTTTGGAAGGAAAAGGTCATTTCCCTTTTTCAAGCTTGTGTTAGATTTCAAGAATATTTCTAAAGGAGGGTTCACCTCCTTAGTCCATAAGCTCACTTCTACTTGACTTCAAAGTTCATTCTTTAATATATGTACCAGGTCATTCACTGTTCCTATGTATTAGGAAGGAATACTAAAAAACACCCTGCCACTACAGGGGTTCAAACTAACAACCTTTCAGTCTCTAGCCAGGCACTCTACAGCTCAACTAAAGGGAAATTCCCTTCAGCAGATGGTTGAAAGGTGACCTGTACTCTCAACTTCTACACTCCTTTACAAAGTCTTCAACCATGAAGACAACAACCCAGGCCAGATATCTCCAAGGAAGCATCTCAATCTCCTATAGCTTCTACCCTTGGAGTGGTCATGACACCAAATCTGTACTAGGAAAGAGTAATAAAAAAAAAAACCCCAGCCACTGCTGGGATTCAAACTAGCTGATAGTAGTAAGTCGACATGTACTCTCAACTTCTACATATATTCATCAAAATATATAACTACTTATTGAAAGGAGATTTCTATTCCTGTCTAGTTTTGGATATAAAACATCACACTGATAAACAATTTTCTGTGAGTTTAATTTCCTGGGTGATCTGATTTGACCTCTAGTTGATAGAAGTATTATGTAACAAAATTTCATACAGACTTTGATATATATGTTAGCTGGAACTGAAATCACTTTCAAAGCAGCATGTGGTCAGCTTTGATGTGTTCATTGGTTTGACTTTTCTGTCACACTTCTAAAGCATGTAGACATGATATTGGACCAACTGATTTGATTCGGTTTATTTACATGTATATAGAAAACATTCAAGCTTTGATAACATTAAATCATATCCTTTTAATAAGTTTATTGGGTTTCAGTTATACATATCTATATGTGTAAGCTTTTGTGTTTTCTTGATGTGTAGGCTGATTGTCTAGGAAACTAGACTCAGAAATTTGCCTTTATCATCAGCATTACTTCTCTGTTCTATATGCATAGAACACATCATTGATTACTAAATATCAGCTTATAGACAATTTGATGTTTATGTTGAAAAGTTTTGAGTCTTTTGATTTCAAAAAACATGGGTTCCTGTATGACATGATAAAACAGAGAAAAAACAGTTTAGGAAGTAAAGTATTCTATTTCATTGTAAACACAGCCACCATCTGCTCGATCACTACACACACCATATGTCTGTATAATGGGGAGCAGAGCAGAAAATGTATACATGTTTTGCACTTGCTGAATGTTCCATACTTTCATATGACTCCAACATGCTCATGCTAAAATCAGGACCCGCCTAGCTTTCTATCTAAACCTGAAACTTTCCTCTAAATACAATTATACAGGTAATCAGTGTAGTTTAGCTAGTCTGCTTTCATATTCAATGTCTGTAATTGGGGCATATTGCTTATTATCCTTCCAGCACGACTAATTATTATCTTAAGCTTTTCCCTGCTACGGTCATAAATTGATAAAAAAAAAAAAAAAAATGGGGCCTTTATAAATGACTTAGTGGTAGTGAGAGGGCTTCACGTGGCAGCTTGTGTCTCCATGGATGGGTATCCTGGTAGTGAGGGGGATGTGTGGCACCTTTTGTCTCAATGGTTGGGTATCCTGGTAATGAGGAGGATTTGTGTGGCAACTTTTGTCTCCATGGTTACAGTGTCCTGGAAGTGAGAGATTTGTCATCTGGCACCTTTTGTCTCAATATTTAGGGTATTCTGGTAGTGGGGGGGATTTGTGTGGCAACTTTTGTCTCCATGGTTACAGTGTCATGGTAGTGAGAGGGATTTGTCAACTGGCACCTTTTGTCTTAATATTTAGGGTATTCGGTAGTGAGGGGGATTTATGGGCAACGTTTGTCTCCATGGTTACAGTGTCCTGGTAGTGAGAGGGATTTGTCATCTGGCACCTTTTGTCTTAATATTTAGGGTATCCTGGTAGTGAGGGGGATTTGTGTGGCAACTTTTGTCTCCATGGTTACAGTGTCCTGCTAGTGAGAGGGATTTGTCATCTGGCACCTTTTGTCTAAATATTTAGGGTATCCTGGTAGTGAGGGGGATTTGTGTGGCAACTTTTGTCTCCATGGTTACAGTGTCCTGTTAGTGAGAGGGATTTGTCATCTGGCACCTTTTGTCTTAATATTTAGGGTATCCTGGTAGTGAGGGGGATTTGTGTGGCAACTTTTGTCTCCATGGTTACAGTGTCTTGTTAGTGAGAGGGATTTGTCATCTGGCACCTTTTGTCTTAATATTTAGGGTATCCTGGTAGTGAGGGGGATTTTTGTGGCAACTTTTGTCTCCATGGTTACAGTGTCCTGTTTGTGAGAGGGATTTGTCATCTGGCACCTTTTGTCTTAATATTTAGGGTATCCTGATAGTGAGGGGGATTTGTGTGGCAACTTTTGTCTCCATGGTTACAATGTCCTGGTAGTGAGGGGGATTTGTGTGGCACCTTGTGTCTCAATGGTTGGATATCCTGGTAGTGAGGGGGAAGTTTTATGGCTCTGTTTGCTGGTTGATGCATCCCACCATACTGAAAGTGATTAACTACGCTGTAATTAGTACACAACCAAATATCTTGTCATAAATTATGATCTGTATTGCTTTTTTGTTGTTAATTTACAACACAAGATTGTACTGTGTTCTGACAAGAGTTTATGATTTTGTTACTTGTTAGGGAAGCCCTCTCTGTTATATAATCAACTTGGGATGAAGTTTTTTGTCTTTGATTGACATTGTTATCTCCTTTATGGATGAAATTCTTGGAAATTTTAGACAAAGCTAAGATACTGGTAATTGACTATACTTAAGTCTGTAACATGAAGCTATTAGTTAAGGCTTAAAAAACTTTGCAATGTTATCATTGATTTCCTGTGCGAGGTTACATTACGAAACAAAATTTATATCTAGCTACATTGGCAGGATATGATCCTGAATAATACTCACAATTGATATTTTAGAATTAGATATAACATTGTTGATCATCGTTTGCAGTATCTCTAGCTAGAATACAAGCATTAAAACTTCATATGATATGTATAATGGTCCTGTTACTGGCCTGTGTAATTTATGATTGTGTCATGATATCATATGACATATATAATACTATACTTTGATTTCATTAATGTTGCATGCTGACACTGCCAGATTGTAGATGTTAAGGGAATATATATAATTGAATGTATTTTTGAGGCAGACAGTTCACTGGTTCACCATAGCATTGGTGAACCAATGAGTCAGCATGGTAGGGAGACAAGGAACCAATGCTAAGTTGAACCAAAGCCTTCGACGTGTCAATCATTAAACAGTGAGCAGTCACTGTCATCAGATGATGTCATCATTTAATTACAGCCTGTTTTTTACTGCTCTGTGTTAATGTTATACAACAAACTGCAGCAGTAGAGAGATCAGGTTAATTGTCAACATAATTATCTAATTATGACCCCTATAGGATGAGGAATCGTCATGTTTGCCCTATTTCATATTTTGTAGAGGTAATAAAATATTTAATGACATGAAAAATCTCATGAATGTTTTGTTTAATCTGCCATGATTTAATTTTTACTTGTAATGACTGTTGTCAGGTTGAAGACAAGGTTTCTCTCTGATGTAAATTTCTTGAAAGATTTTTGCATTTGGTTACAAATGAACTTTGTATGATATCTTTTGCAAATTTTTCTTGAGCATTGGGAAAGATAATATGTTGAGAGACACTAGTGCAAGGAAATGGAAATAGTGCCTTGATTTATAAAGAGAAGGTAGGGTAAAAGATTTAGCAAGATATTGAGGCTTCCACTCTGGTCGGGTGGTGCACTGGTAGAACACACACCTGTGTTTTTGTGGGAGTGGGTACAGGGGGGTGGATGGGTTGATTGATGCCTGGAATGGATATGAAAAGGTACAGGGGACATCACCTGTCTTACCATGTGGGTGTTAAGTTCCTTGAGATCTATAGTATGAAGACAGATGCAGAAATATATATAGATATGGAGACTGAGACTTTAGGTCTATAGTATAAAGATAGATGCAGAAATATATATAGATATGGAGACAGAGACTTTAGATCTATAGTATGAAGATTGAGAAGGAAATATATATAGATATGGAGACAGAGACTTTAGATCTATAGTATGAAGATTGAGAAGGAAATATATATAGATATGGAGACAGAGACTTTAGATCTATAGTATGAAGATACAGAAGGAAATTTATATAGATATTGAGGCTCAAATGCTGGAGATGATTTTGAGGCTTTGACCTTGCAGATGATCGAGAAGTTTAAAGTTGGCAGTTTGTTTCTGTGGTTGTGATATTGTAGATGGAATTGATGCTAAGACATGGAAATGATATTAAGGTCATGACCTTGAAGATGATATTTGAGGCTGGGATGTTGATAGTCTCTGTTTTCTTTCCCTCCAACTGTGTACAGATATGGAGAGGCAATGTTCCATTGTCTAGCCACAGCAAGATTTAATTGGTGGTCTGGGGTGCTGGATTGTGTAGGAATCAGACACATACAAAGAACTATATCAACTGATTGCCTATCACACTAGAGGTTATTACACAACATAATAGTATCTCTGGAGTAACCACCACACCTTGGGACATTGTACATCAGTCTAATTCTACACCAAAGAATATTATTGATGTGGTTATTTCTGCAATTACCATAGAATCAGGAAATATATTCATGTCAATAAGTCATTGTCATTACACTAGTCTTGTTTTAGCCTTCACATTGGTCACAGGAGTAGGTCAAGCAACTATAGCAAAACTATGGGACATTTCTCTACAGCATATTACTAGTCTTGTTTTAGCCTTCACATTGGTCACAGGAGTAGGTCAACCAACTACAGCAAAACTATGGGACATTTCTCTACAGCATATTCCAAGTCTTGTTTTAGCCTTCACATTGGTCACAGGAGTAGGTCAACCAACTACAGCAAAACTATAGGACATTTCTCTACAGCATATTCCAAGTCTTGTTTTAGCCTTCACATTGGTCACAGGAGTAGGTCAACCAACTACAGCAAAACTATGGGACATTTCTCTACAGCATATTACTAGTCTTGTTTTAGCCTTCACATTGGTCACAGGAGTAGGTCAAGCAACTACAGCAAAACTATAGGACATTTCTCTACAGCATATTCCAAGTCTTGTTTCAATCAAATGAACATGCCAGCCATGCTATCTTGTAATATGGCCTTAAACACTACAAACATTGATTAATCAAGTATTTGATGCACACATCCCATAATGCTCATGGAATTTGTAAAGGTATTGTAGATGGCTCAAAGACATAATCCAGGCAAGCATGGTTTTCTTCAAACATGGTTATGCCTATTTTCTACCGGACTCCAATTCCTTCTTTAAGATTGCAGCAAATTCGTTGTTGTCACATACCTCCTTCATGTTTGTCAAGTTGAGGAATAATATCACATTTATGGCCAATCTGTTCAATCTTTAGTGATCTTGCATATATTTGACACATCTATGCAAGCCATCTTGTACCATTATGTCTCCTTGATTTAAAAATCATCATTATAGGCAACAATCTACCTTAAGTAACAAGCATCTGCTAAGTCAACATGGTTAACCTAACAAGTATCAGTTTTGGATTTATACATTGATAATTAAACAAGCATCAGTAAAGGCCATATGGTACCTTAATGATAAAAGCATTATTAATGCAATATGCCGCTTAATAATTGTTAGAAAGAATAATTTCATTTTCTTTGCCAGAAGAGTTCCAACTTGAAGGGTTCGTGTGTCTTTATAGCAGGAACTCTGTTTCTTCATTAACGATCCTTTAAGATGGATTTCAAGGTCACCAGATTCTGTTGATATTTTTTTAGCTTCTTCTCAGAGCTGCTTGGCCAATTCAAACCAAACTTAGTCTTTGCTTGGAGACATAACAGAAATAAGTGTTAATACAGTTGTAATGTCAAAGGGTAGCTTTAGCAATGGTGCAGAATTTGTGATCTCTAAATGTACTATTTCATGTTCAGGAATGGGGCAATTGTTTGGGTAGAACCAAAATTCTGAAATGGCAATATAACACCAATTTGTTTGAAAATAATCAACATTTTTGGTGCTCTACACAAATAGCATTTATAGCAGTTCTAGAGGTGTTGTTTTACACAAATAACGTTTACATTAGTCCTAGAGATATTGCTTTACACAAGTAACATTTATAGCAGTTCTAGAGGTGTTGCTTTACACAAGTAACATTTACATTAGTCGTAGAGATGTTGCTTTACACAAGTAACATTTATAGCAGTTCTAGAGGTGTTGCTTTACACAAGTAACATTTATAGCAGTCCTAGAGGTGTTGCTTTACACAAGTAACGTTTACATTAGTCCTAGAGATGTTGCTTACACAAGTAACATTTATAGCAGTTCTAGAGGTGTTGCTTTACACATGTAACATTTATAGCAGTCCTAGAGATGTTGCTTTACACAAATAACATTTATAGCAGTTCTAGAGGTGTTGCTTTACACAAGTAACATTTATAGCAGTCCTAGAGGTGTTGCTTTACACAAGTAACATTTACATTAGTCGTAGAGATGTTGCTTTACACAAGTAACATTTATAGCAGTTCTAGAGGCGTTGCTTTACACAAGTAACATTTATAGCAGTCCTAGAGGTGTTGCTTTACACAAATAACGTTTACATTAGTCCTAGAGATATTGCTTTACACAAGTAACATTTAAATCAGTTCTAAAGGTGTTGCTTTACACACACACAAAAAGAGAAAATTATAGCATTCCTAAAGTTGTTGTTTTGAGGACCGCTAGATTTAGTGTTTTTTGTGTACAACACCTCTAGGTATTCTGTACCCAAGTAACATTTACATCAGTCCTTAATATGTTACTTTACGCAAGTAACGTTTACATTAGTCTTAGAGATGTTGCTTTACACAAATAACATTTATAGTAGTTCTAGAGGGGTTGCTTTACACAAGTAACGTTTTTATTAGTCCTAGAGATGTTGCTTTACATAAGTAACATCTATAGTAGTTTTATAGATGTTGCTTTACATACTACAATTACAAATCATATCTAATTTGCTTTTCGTAGTTAAATCAGAAGCTTATGGATGCAAGTTCTAACACCTAAATCAGGTACTATTTTTCAATTAATTTCCTTATTTTTCAGACTGTACAAGGATTATTTCTGGGAGGCCAGCCTTGAATCAGGAACAGATGTTATGTACCAATGGTCTCTCCTGTCCTTGAGTGGTGGCCGTAACATCACTGGCACCTCTTATGGTGTCATGGACAAGGTAAACATTATTTCACTTAGATATAACTATGACTTGTGTTCATTCAAACCATGTTTATAAAGTCGTGATATACCTTGCTCAGGTAACCACAGCAGACACACATTACCTGGGGGGATGGAGACTCATCCACAAATATGCATACTTTATGTGTTTTGCTATTACATGATGTAACAGTGATGGAATTTGTGAGATCAGATGAGGTTAGACATTGCAGGAGATCACAATAACCTTTACTAATCATAACCTCAGGTAGATGTACTGATGACTTCAGTTTGTTGGATTTGGGATTGAAGTCACAAGAAACGTATGTGAATATTTTTAGTTGATAAGGTTACTGGGGTCTGTTTATGCTTCTTAACAATGAGGAAATGTCACTCACATATTTTAAAGCCAATTTTTCCTTTTCTTCTTTGGATATGTGCTCCCGTTATTTTATCCCTTTACAACAGGTTGAAGTGTTAGTATTGAAATAGTCTGTGGTTTAGTAGATATGATGTGATTTTAGTAGAATTTAAAATAGAAAATTCTAGTGGTCAAGAAAATTAAGTATTTGATAAATGAAGATTATGGTTTTCATGTGGTTAGAGAGCAGGGCCCCATTAATGAAGATTTAAAATACTAATAAAGTTACCCACAAATTAAGATGTTTGATAGAATAAACCAGTGTTGTTGGATCCAAGGAGTTAAGTCATTTACCATATTCATCATTGCATAAGATGTTATATTCTCTCTATATGGTATTGTTCTGGTAAAAAGCACATCTTCATTTAACTCCATTAATATACATGGCTGTTATTGTTAAACCACAAACAAATGCTAACATGATTTCATTGGCCTGTAAAGTAGTTGGCCATACTCCTTACTTTGAGTTATGTGTCAGCTCCCTGGTAAATTTAATCAGATCTGGTAAGACCTGGTGCTGGCTCCCTGGTAAATTTAAAAAGATCTGTAAAGTCCTGGTGAATGAATTTGAATTTTAGAAAAAATGTGTAGTTATTAGACAAAGGATATTCAGTGTTATAGAGTCAAACCTGTCATAAAGGCCATCCACATTCAACAGGTGCTTGTCTATAAAGACCACCTGTAGACTACAAATGTCTGTCTATAAAGACCACCTGTAGACTACATATGTCTGTCTATAAAGACCACCTGTAGACTACATATTTCTGTCTATAAAGACCACCTGTAGACTACATATGTCTGTCTATAAAGACCACCTGTACACTACAAATGTCTGTCTATAGAGACCACATGTATTTAATACCTGTCTTTAGAGGCCACAGTTATTTAACTATTGCCAGTCTCAAAAGGACACTTGTTTTCTACAAATGACTGCATCTAAAGGTCACCTGAATTTAATCTCTAAAAGACACCTGTAGTCTACAAATTACCATCTCTAAAAGACACCTGTATTCTACAAATTGTCATCTCTAAAAGACACCTGTATTCTACAAATTACCATCTCTAAAAGACACCTGTATTCTACAAATTGTCATCTCTAAAAGACACCTGTATTCTACAAATTACCATCTCTAAAAGACACCTGTATTCTACAAATTGTCATCTCTAAAAGACACCTGTATTCTACAAATTACCATCTCTAAAAGACACCTGTATTCTACAAATTGCCATCTCTAAAAAACACCTGTATTATACAAATTACCATCTCTAAAAGACACCTGTATTCTACAAATTACCATCTCTAAAAGACACTTGTATTCTACAAATTGTCATCTCTAAAAGACACCTGTATTCTACAAATTGTCATCTCTAAAAGACACCTGTATTCTACAAATTGTCATCACTAAAAGACACCTGTATTCTACAAATTACCATCTCTAAAAGACACCTGTATTATACAAATTACCATCTCTAAAAGACACCTGTATTCTACAAATTGTCATCTCTAACAGACACCTGTATTCTACAAATTACCATCTCTAAAAGACACCTGTATTCTACAAATTGTCATCTCTAAAAGACACCTGTATTCTACAAATTACCATCTCTAAAAGACACCTGTATTCTACAAATTACCATCTCTAAAAGACACCTGTATTCTACAAATTGTCATCTCTAAAAGACACCTGTATTCTACAAATTACCATCTCTAAAAGACACCTGTATTCTACAAATTGCCATCTCTAAAAAACACCTGTATTATACAAATTACCATCTCTAAAAGACACCTGTATTCTACAAATTACCATCTCTAAAAGACACTTGTATTCTACAAATTGTCATCTCTAAAAGACACCTGTATTCTACAAATTGTCATCTCTAAAAGACACCTGTATTCTACAAATTGTCATCTCTAAAAGACACCTGTATTCTACAAATTACCATCTCTAAAAGACACCTGTATTCTACAAATTGTCATCTCTAAAAGACACCTGTATTCTACAAATTGTCATCTCTAAAAGACACCTGTATTCTACAAATTGTCATCTCTAAAAGACACCTGTATTCTACAAACTGTCATCTCTAAAAGACGACTGTATTCTACAAATTGTCATCTCTAAAAGACACCTGTATTCTACAAATTGCCATCTCTAAAAGACACCTGTATTCTACAAATTGCCATCTCTAAAAAACACCTGTATTATACAAATTACCATCTCTAAAAGACACCTGTGTTCTACAAATTGTCGTCTCTAAAAGACACCTGTATTCTACAAATTACCATCTCTAAAAGACACCTGTATTATACAAATTACCATCTCTAAAAGACACCTGTATTCTACAAATTGTCATCACTAAAAGACACCTGTATTCTACAAATTACCATCTCTAAAAGACACCTGTATTCTACAAATTGTCATCTCTAAAAGACACCTGTATTCTACAAATTGTCATCTCTAAAAGACACCTGTATTCTACAAATTGTCATCTCTAAAAGACACCTGTATTCTACAAATTACCATCTCTAAAAGGCACCTGTATTCTACAAATGTTTTTTTGTAAAGGCCTCTGGTTGGTTATGGATCCTTGTGTAGTACAATTTGTTGTAATCAAACCTTTATAAAGGCCACTTGCATATAAAAGTCCTATAGAGACAGGCTGCCGTGAAGCAGGTCCAGTGGAGGAAATGTGGTACTCTTCCATATCTAATAAGTGATTGTAATCCAGTGCTGGCATATGTTTTCTCATGTTATAACCTACCAATTTTCTTACAAGAGGAAATCATGTTGATGCATGCCTTTGCTTTTCTGGTGTAATTACACTTGTCTGCAGTTGTCTAGCGCTGTGAGGCAGATCTGCTAAGGAAATAATGCATTGATATATAATACTTTTATGGTATTGGCTGCAGTAGTCGGGTTAAATAAGATTGATGATTCTGACAAAATAGAGATTTTTAAAAAAAATATTGAATGTGTCTTCATGCCGGCTCATCTGATGTTGTATGGAATTGAAAGCAGATTCCTACCTGTCTTTGCCTGTGTGATTTTTGTTTTTTTCTCATTATTCATCAATTTCCCCATAGTTACAGTGTGTGGTTGTCATGGGTTACTGTATGCATCCAAATTAGGTGGAGATAATTATTAAGTGCACGGACAAATTATATGATGTAATCCATCATGGCCGCCACAGTGTGTTTGAGATGACGGGTATGGGACAGGAAGTCGGTGTAGCATGCGGCTGGCCATGATTACAGTGACGGCTATGGATACTTGCATTAAAGGAGGGCCTGTTCTACTGTGTTGTGATTGGTATTACTGACTGATGAGTGGATAAGGCTTGGTGACACATTCACAGGTTTTTTAGGACTTTAATAATATGGTACTATGCAACAGGTTGTTGATAAAAAACAAAAAGAAATTGTTGTAGAAGTCTTGGTTGGTAGAGGTATTCGGACATTCAGTTTATGCTTCTGGGTTATTGGAGTGTGGTATCGTTAGCAGTGTTATTTTTGTTATTTTTTATATAGTCAAAATCGATTGAATACTGAATTGAAATTTTGTTTCTAATTCAAAGTGATAAAAAGTTGATAATATTTTGAGGGAAAAGCAGCTGTAGATACCATGTTGAGTTGGATTTAAACATTAGAACAGTTTTGATAACAGAGCAAGCCTTAGAAATAGTCTTTCATTTGATAGGGATATTATTGTCTTAATTTTTAAAGAAAGGATGTAAAATGTCAGAGCTAAAATGTTGTTATAACAACTGCAGATTAGAACAAGTATTGCTATAAGGTTGCCTGATAAGTGATTGGATTTTATATTTTCAGTACCGGAATCAGTTTGAGGTACCAGGCATTTACAGTCTAATTGTCGCCACTCGCAATAATGTTAGCCAGTCAGAGGCCAGTTTACTTATCACTGTATCCTACCCTGTAACCAAGGTTACAGTCCAGACACGCCCAATCCCGCTAGGTCAAACCAGCTACATCAACATCACAGTAACAGGGGCAGATAACTTCAATGTCCAAGTAGATTTTGGAGACAATTCATCAACGGAGGTGTCAACATTACAATACAATTCAAACATATTCAGATTGTCTAACATAAGCTACAAAGTTATGATCCCTCACATGTATACTAGAAAGGGGACATATAAAGTAAGCGTGAATGTTTCAAACCAAGTGTCATCTTTGGAGGAGACAGCAGTTGTGTTAGTGGGCGAACCAATCACAGGCATAAAACTACACACCTCCTCTCCAAGTCTGGTACAGGTGGCAGAATGGGTCGTTGTAACAGCAACTGTTGATACTGGAGATGACCTCACATTTGAGTGGGATTTCTCAGATGAAGTATATGAGCCTAGCCAGTACCTAAAAGTCATAAGGTAAGTGCTATATTGTCTATATCTGTTGTAAACCTATAGAATTGTTTTCTGGAATTTGTGGCAAAAAATCAATTGCTGTAATCAAAATGTTTGTGTCAGATAACCCCCAAGAAGTATGAAATATATACAATTGAACAAGAACAAGTATTATCTTGTGAAAATTGCTGTTGCCAGACACAAAAACAAATTCTGTAATATTTCTCTTTAAAATTATCTTTAGTTGTAACTATTAAAAATCTTTTGAAACTTTTGCGAGGCACAAGAACAATTTGTGAGACCTTAGAGACTGTACTATCTTGTGAGACTTTAGAGACTGTACTATCTTGTGAGACCTTAGAGACTGTACTATCTTGTGAGACCTTAGAGACTGTACTATCTTGTGAGACCTTAGAGACTGTACTATCTTGTGAGACCTTAGAGACTGTACTAGCTTGTGAGACCTTAGAGACTGTACTATCTTGTGAGACCTTAGAGACTGTACTATCTTGTGAGACCTTAGAGACTGCACTATCTTGTGAGACCTTAGAGACTGTACTAGCCTATTAGAATTTATAGAGCTGTCGGTGTTTAATGTTCATGTAAATGTACTCTACAATATGCAATTGGACAATATATGCACTTTTTCAATGTTCATAAGTATATCAATATTGTCACTTTTAATATTCTGCAAGAATTTTGAAACGGTCCTTTCACCATATACAACACCACCTGTTTTGGTTGGAAAAACAATTTTGTCCTGACTAGAGGCTGGAGAATCGCTCACATGATATACAATCAGACAAATTGATCCCACCTATTCCGACAGAAGTCTGAGATTATACCATTACTGTAGTGTTTTACGGATAGCTGAATTCACCTTTGTGAGAATACTATCAAGAAATATGAAATCCTTTGCATGCGTCTTGAGTATGGTGGAAGTTCTTAATGCAGGACTCTTTGGCATGTTTCTTCATGTTTTGATTTGATACTGACAAGACCTTGACCAAAATGCAACCCTGATTATGTTTCATCTTTAAACAAAATGTTTTCATGCAGGTCCCACTTGCTGTGCACATTGTTAGACTAATTATTAGGTGTTAAAACTCTTCCCTCCAAAACTGGCACTGTCATCTGAAAAGCTGGTGAAACAATGTGATATTAATCACATTAGATCTCAGATTAAAATACCAGACCATATCAAGTCAGGAAATTGTCTAATTTTGTTTTTGCATATCAAAACATTAGAATATTTAAAAACTTTTTAAAAAATTTCATCTAAATGATTAAAAATTTATTTCAAAAGATAAAATTAAAATTTTGGTTATTTCTTTAGGCACAGAAAATTAGGGATCATATTGAACATACAGAGATTTTAAAGTCAAGATAAACCTTTACACGTTCAATGCATATCTTTGATAATTGAATCGGGAATCGTGGCTTTAAGGTTCTGAGGATGCTGAAGCCAGACAATGATTGAAAGAAAAAGAAATGACCTTGAATCGTATTTAAAGTAGCTTGACTCGTATTTAACATCACTAGGGTCAAATTTGTTAAGATGTTGAAACTTTTTCTTATAAACCACAAGGCTTAGAGTCATGATATTTAGCTTGTAGAGTCTTTGCATAAAGCCTGAAAATCTCTCTAAAAATGACCTTGACCAGTATTCAAGGCTTTTCAAGTCAATTTTTAGTAAAACTCTTTAATTGCTTCATCTGCTCATAAATTTTATTTATTGAAGTTGTCCACAACATAATCCATCAGTTGTGGACAATTAATGTTAAAGTCTAGCTTCACAGTTTGATTGAGCAGAAGGGGTCTTCTCTCAATGTTAATGTATTTATGATAATAACATTAGATACATGTTGAGTGATTCAGGCCCATCAGGCCTCTTCTATATGGTATGGTTTGATACAGGACTGCCAGTAATCAGTGATAAACATGTTATAGACTCTCTCTACCAGAATCAATAGAATAGCGAGAAAAGCACACTTTAGTGCTAATCCATTCAGCTTCAATTGACAGCTCAGCACAACAAAATCCTTAAAGACCAGAAAAAAAGGAGAATTTCTAATCTAAACATGCACAAATGGAAATTTTTCAAAAGATCTCTGACTGCCATTTCAGTAGATGATTATATCAAATTGATAGTGAAAGAAATTGAAAAATTGGGAGATAAAAAACTATTAGGTGTAAAAATCATTGAAACTGCCAGAATGCAGATTAAATTGCTACTGATCTGAAACCGGGGGAGTATTTGTGGAATTTTAATCAAGGTTGGGTTACTATCCAACTAGAAATTGTAGGAAAGTGTAATAACAAAGGGATTTCTGTGGTTTTGTGAGGGTTGGATGACAGGATTTGGAAAATACCTCGGGGACACAAACTAGTATGGAAATGATTGAAAACAGAGACAAGTCTGAGAAAGTGTTGAAAAGGAGGTTGATCTGTAAATTGAGGAGTAATGGGATTTTGTATCATAATAAGGCATCATCCTGGTCCTCTGAGAGTGTCACAGAATGGAACAGGGACGATGGAAATATGATATAATGAGAATCTGAATTATATAAGCTATCAAATTATACAGGCTATCACAGAATGGGACAGTATATAGGAGGGGGTAGTTTATTTTCACAGGATGGAACACATTTCACAGTAGATCACAGAATGGGACAGTATATACCTGTTGAGTAGTTTATTTCACAGGATGGAACACATTTCACAGTAGATCACAGAATGGGACAGTATATACCTGTTGAGTAGTTTATTTCACAGGATGGAACACATTTCACAGTAGATCACAGAATGGGACAGTATATACCTGTTGAGTAGTTTATTTCACAGGATGGAACACATTTCACAGTAGATCACAGAATGGGACAGTATATACCTGTTGAGTAGTTTATTTCACAGGATGGAACACATTTCACAGTAGATCACAGAATGGGACAGTATATACCTGTTGAGTAGTTTATTTCACAGGATGGAACACATTTCACAGTAGATCACAGTATGGGACAGTATATACCTGTTGAGTAGTTTATTTCACTGGATGCAACACATTTCACAGTAGATCACAGAATGGGAGAGTGTATAAGAGGGAGTTGTTCATATCATTACATGGAACACATCTCACTGGCTACCACACAATGGGAGAGTGTATACCAGGGAAGTTGTGGGACATTTTCTACAGGTTATCACGGAAAGGGAAAGTGTGGATTAAATCATTTTTATTAGTGGGACTTATTCTATCAGCTGTCATAGACTGGGAAAATGTGGGATATTTTCTACAGGTAATCACAGAAAGGGAAAGTGTATTAGTGGATTAATTTATCTTAATTAGTGGGACTTATTCAACCAGCTATCGTAGACTGGGAAAACATGGGACACATTCTATTGACTCTCACAGAATGGGACATTCTACTAATGGAGCTATAAATTTGTGCTCCAAGGGACACATTCTTTGGACTTACACAAAGTGGTTGCATAGTCAGCCTGTGAAAAACCAGTTTGTTTTCAAACTTAAGATTATTTGAGCATATGATCAGGCTTGTAATGCATCAGTTATATGTCATAATCTTATTTATGATAATTTTCAGTAGTTAATGAAATACATACTTCGTCAGCTAATTCCAGTGTGATGGACAAGTAACACAAGCATCTTCCTCAGTGTTTATCACCTTCACAAAGGAAACGAGGCATGTAAACATAATCTGTGAAGGCATCCTGAATGATAGAGGGGTACTTTTTGTGACAATTGAGGTGAATGTCTAATCAGTAATGATGTTTGTTGTGGGACTGACAAATACAGTTTCATTTCAACAAACAATATTAATTTCTACTAAAATACATCTTCATTAAAGAGGGATAACTACATGTACTTTAGGTAATATATTCATATTTATAAGGTGACTTTCCCGTTAATATCTTCATCGAAGGGGGATAACTACAGATACTTTAGGTAATATATTCATATTTATAAGGTGACTTTCCCGTTAATATCTTCATCAAAGGGGGATAACTACATGTACTTTAGGTAATATATTCATATTTATAAGGTGACTTTCCCGTTAATATCTTCATCAAAGGGGGATAACTACAGGTACTTTAGGTAATATATTCATATTTATAAGGTGACTTTCCTGGTAATATCTTCATCAAAGGGGGATAACTGCAGGTAATATTTATTAACACAGCTTTTAAGATGACTAGACTTATCTGGTAAGAGTGAAAGCTAAAGGTACATCATAAGACTTGATGTATCAGATTTCCAGGTATTTTACAGATAGATGACTCAATCAGAGGTTCAGGCAGATATCTGACATTTAAAGATTGTTTCCTAAGCTCACCATAATCACTGCTGTCTATCCCCCTCTTTCCCCCCTCAATTGATGGATCGGTGTATCTCTGCTGAGCGGATATGTAATTACATAGCTCATCAACTTATTGCTAATGGCCATTTTTCAATTATTTACACCCTGTCAAGTCATGACAGCCTATACAGAATCCAAGAATATTTTTTAGACCAGCTCAAAAATACCATATAATACACTCCACCATCAGGATTGGATTGTAGCTTGGTGGTTCTGTTCTTAACTGTAGTTTGGCTCACAACACAGAATTGTTTATGTAAAGAACAACAGCTCTAAGAAATAATTTGTGACACTTCTCTTTGTTCGTGTATTATTTCACATTTTCAAGTTTCAGTCCAAATAATTCATGATATATATAGCTGAAAATATCTGTTATAAACAAGAAGAAAACTTTGTTGAAAATGTTGAAAATTAGTAAATGAAGATTTTTGAATGTTCATTGAACCTGATGTATGTTTACAGTGAAGGAAACACAAGTACAGCTAATTACTCCTTCTCTCTGGCCGGACAATATGCCGTGATTTTACGAGTCTACAACATCTTATATACTCAGCCATTCATCGTCACGTTGGACTTCAGGTTCCATGTTATGGAAGTGGTCAGTCAACTGACCATTGAAATCTACGAGAAGATAACAGGATTGCCACTACAGGGATCAGCCCCTAACCTGTCCACTCCAGAGGTTCAATTCCAGTCAAAGTGAGTCCAATACTTTATTGTTTGTTTTTACGTTCACAGTTTTCTGAAACAATGTGCGTCACAGCATAATCTGCAGTTTACTTGTTCTTTAAACTAGAATAAGAAAATTTCTAAGTTTATTGAATTTTGATAATTTTCATTCACTCTCTAGGTTTCAACATTTAGACCCCTATAGTATCAGTGATGAGTCCTAGGACAAAACGACTGTATGATGCAGTTTATATCATTAATTGGCTATACTCTGTCCAATTCTTAATTTTGAAATTTAAAATTTGAAATTCCCTTTCTAAATACTGGAAGGAGTGTACAACTTTGTAATTTTAGAGTTAATTCTACTGAGCTATTGGGTGTTGATACTGATGTTCATCAAGAGGGTCAATGTTGTTTCAAAATTTTATAGTTTTCGTAGGAAGTATACTTACAGATGCAATATGGGTATTAGTTAGAATCATAACACATAACAGATAAGCAATGTCAAAATGTCAGTTAATCACACTGTAATTCAACATCTCAATATAGGATTACATTTAACATTTACTTTCTAATAGTTCCCATAGCAACTTATAAGTAATTCTTGATCTTATCAGGTGTAGTGGCTCGGACGTGACTTTTGAATTCAATTTTGGTGATGGTGTGACAATGCAGGTGCCTGGAATACTACATCAGTATGTCAATATAATGATGGCTACATCATCTCATCGATATACTAAAGGTATTCCACTTTGGCTGTAACTTTACTGTTTAATACACACTGACACTCATATCTTATCCACAGAAATATTTGTATGTAACCCACAAAGCCAGTTTCACTTTTAATCCAGACTGATACTACACTGATAGTTTTAACTTGCATGAAAACTCTCATATTTAACATTATTTGTAGACACTCCCTCATTTCACCACATAAACACTCACATTTAATTCATTCTATCACTCACATTTAATTCATTCAATCACTCACATTTACTCACATTTAATTCATTCTATCACTCACATTTAATTCATTCTATCACTCACATTTAATTCATTCAATCACTCACATTTACTCACTTTTAATTGATTCTATCATTCACATTTAATTCATTCTATCACTCACTTTTAATTGATTCTATCACTCACATTTAATTCATTCAATCACTCACATTTAATTCATTCAATCACTCACATTTAATTCATTCAATCACTCACATTTACTCACTTTTAATTGATTCTATCACTCACATTTAATTCATTCTATCACTCACATTTACTCACATTTAATTCATTCTATCACTCACATTTAATTCATTCTATCACTCACTTTTAATTGATTCTATCACTCACATTTAATTCATTCTATCACTCACATTTAATTCATTCTATCACTCACTTTTAATTGATTCTATCACTCACATTTAATTCATTCTATCACTCACATTTAATTCATTCAATCACTCACATTTACTCACATTTAATTCATTCAATCACTCACATTTAATTCATTCTATCACTCACTTTTAATTGATTCTATCACTCACATTTAATTCATTCTATCACTCACATTTAATTCATTCAATCACTCACATTTACTCACATTTAATTCATTCTATCACTCACATTTAATTCATTCAATCACTCACATTTACTCATATTTAATTCATTCTATCACTCACTTTTAATTGATTCTATCATTCACATTTAATTCATTCTATCACTCACATTTAATTCATTCAATCACTCACATTTACTCATATTTAATTCATTCTATCACTCACTTTTAATTGATTCTATCATTCACATTTAATTCATTCTATCACTCACATTTAATTGATTCTATCATTCACATTTAATTCGTTTTATAACTCACATTTAATTCATTCTATCACTCACATTTAATTCATTCTATCACTCACATTTAATTCATTCAATCACTCACATTTAATTCATTCAATCACTCACATTTACTCACATTTAATTCATTCTATCACTCACATTTAATTCATTCAATCACTCACATTTACTCATATTTAATTCATTCTATCACTCACTTTTAATTGATTCTATCATTCACATTTAATTCATTCTATCACTCACTTTTAATTGATTCTATCACTCACATTTAATTCATTCTATCACTCACATTTAATTCATTCTATCACTCACATTTAATTCATTCTATCACTCACATTTAATTCATTCTATCACTCACATTTAATTCATTCTATCACTCACATTTAATTCATTCAATCACTCACATTTACTCATATTTAATTCATTCTATCACTCACTTTTAATTGATTCTATCATTCACATTTAATTCATTCTATCACTCACTTTTAATTGATTCTATCACTCACATTTAATTCATTCAATCACTCACATTTACTCACATTTAATTCATTCTATCACTCACATTTAATTCATTCTATCACTCACATTTAATTCATTCAATCACTCACATTTACTCATATTTAATTCATTCTATCACTCACTTTTAATTGATTCTATCATTCACATTTAATTCATTCTATCACTCACTTTTAATTGATTCTATCACTCACATTTAATTCATTCTATCACTCACATTTAATTCATTCAATCACTCACATTTACTCACATTTAATTCATTCTATCACTCACATTTACTCACATTTAATTCATTCTATCACTCACATTTAATTCATTCTATCACTCACATTTAATTCATTCTATCACTCACTTTTAATTGATTCTATCATTCACATTTAATTCATTCTATCACTCACTTTTAATTGATTCTATCACTCACATTGAATTCATTCTATCACTCACATTTAATTCATTCAATCACTCACATTTACTCATATTTAATTCATTCTATCACTCACTTTTAATTGATTCTATCATTCACATTTAATTCATTCTATCACTCACTTTTAATTGATTCTATCACTCACATTTAATTCATTCTATCACTCACATTTAATTCATTCAATCACTCACATTTACTCACATTTAATTCATTCTATCACTCACATTTAATTCATTCTATCACTCACATTTAATTCATTCTATCACTCACATTTACTCACATTTAATTCATTCAATCACTCACATTTACTCACATTTAATTCATTCTATCACTCACATTTAATTCATTCTATCACTCACATTTAATTCATTCTATCACTCACATTTAATTCATTCTATCACTCACATTTAATTCGTTCTATCACTCACATTTAATTTGTTCTATCACTCACATTTAAATCACTTTTCTCTTACTTTTAATTACACTATCACACTTCCATTTAACACACTCTAACTCTCACATTTAACTCACAATAATACTGTTGGAACATACCGTCACTGTTGCCAAAGTGACGATTCATTATCACACAATTATTCATTGTACTTTTACACTGAAATTTTAAGAGATATGTGGTGTATTGATACATGTACATCAAAATAAAAGATATATTGTAAATCACTTTTATTTCATGTGGGAAGCCTGTCTGTGACATGAAATATCAAAACTGTTTCAGAGGGAGTATACAATGTAAGTGTAACAGCCAGGAATAGCCTCTCTGAGATGACATCATACCTGGCCAATCCATTCTATGTACAGCTCCCTCCTCAGGGACTCCAGCTGCACCCAGAGATGGTTCGCACTCCATTTGGTGAAGAGACAACCTTTACTGCTAGTGTTACAGGAGGCACCAACTTCACTTTTGACTGGAAGTTTGGGGACCAGTCAGATATTGTCAATGATGCAGGTTTGTATAATACTGAAACTTTTTCAAATAGCAAAGAGTCAGGATAACCTTTGATTTTATTTAATATCACTTTTTCTTGAAAAACCTTTATTTTGTCCGTATTGTCCTTGTAATGAAACTTCAATTGATGTTGCTTGCTTTGACTCGATGTCACACATTTAGCTTGGCTGTAAACACTGTCATAGTCAAAAGGCTTCAGACATCAACCTTCCAGCTTGAAATTCAGAAAGTCTAGTGTATTTGTATATCAGAAAACAGAATCTGAATTATTATAACATGACTATAACTTTTGAATTTGTTAATGTGTTTGTCCTAGGCTACTGATGGACTAACATTTAGAAAAATGAAATTGTCAGAAGATTTCAAACAAGTTTACTTTGGGATTATTATAGCCAAAAGTAGTTGATATCCTGCTCTGATTAATGTTATGATTTTTTTTATGACAGTCCAGAAGTGATGTTAAGAGAATCTCACTATATAATGCATATCATTGTGAGAAAGATTGTATTATACAGCCAGTGTTTGTTGTATTACAGGTCCGGTGATGACACATGAGTACACACAGGTCGGCAGGTACAGGGTCACAGTTATTGCCAAGAATGATGTGTCACAACTCACCAAGACAGCAGAAGTCGAGGTCCTACACAGACTTCAGAGTAAGTGCTATAGTAACAGGTTTCAATGATGTCAAGGTCACCAATTATTCAAGGTCACCAATTACTTATATGTAGATGTCCTTCAAAGCCCATACCTCACTGAGCTATCAAGGTCATTTATTACTTATATGCAGGTGTCCTTCATATATTGTTACATCTTATAATGCGGAATTCAGATGATCTTGTCCTAAACAGATTTCCTGTAACCTTTGCAAATTTTAATTGCCAAAAGTGCTTGTACAAGAGAAATTGAAACTCTCCTGGTTTCATGAGTGTTGTGATACTGGCTGCAGTTTGTATTGATAGAAACTATTGAGCTCTCAACCTCCTGCCTTCCTTCCCTGTTGGTTACCAGACGACATAAACACCAGTACCTAACCCATCCAAGAAAACTCTGTAATTACCAACACATTTGATGAATACATGTTGTTGAGTTATGTATAACGTACGCCTAAGTTTGTAATTAGTCTGTCCATTTTATACCCAACATTTGTACTGGTTGGTCCGGAGGCGAGAACCCTTGGATATAACGCTCTATAATCTAGGCTGAACATGTCAACGGACTCCTAATCAGCTGTTTTCAATAGCAAACTATGTAGCAGATGATATTTACTAAATTGTAGACAACATAGACCTTACCTAGCAGATGATATTTACTAAATTGTAGACAACATAGACCTTACCTAGCAGATGATATTTACTAAATTGTAGACAACATAGACCTTACCTAGCAGATGATATTTACTCAATTGTAGACAACATAGACCTTACCTAGCAGATGATATTTACTAAATTGTAGACAACATAGACCTTACCTAGCAGATGATATTTACTAAATTGTAGACAACATAGACCTTACCTAGCAGATGATATTTACTAAATTGTAGACAACATAGACCTTACCTAGCAGATGATATTTACTAAATTGTAGACAACATAGACCTTACCTAGCAGATGATATTTACTAAATTGTAGACAACATAGACCTTACCTAGCAGATGATATTTACTAAATTGTAGACAACATAGACCTTACCTAGCAGATGATATTTACTAAATTGTAGACAACATAGACCTTACCTAGCAGATGATATTTACTAAATTGTAGACAACATAGACCTTACCTAGCAGATGATATTTACTAAATTGTAGACAACATAGACCTTACCTAGCAGATGATATTTACTAAATTGTAGACAACATAGACCTTACCTAGCAGATGATATTTACTAAATTGTAGACAACATAGACCTTACCTAGCAGATGATATTTACTAAATTGTAGACAACATAGACCTTACCTAGCAGATGATATTTACTAAATTGTAGACAACATAGACCTTACCTAGCAGATGATATTTACTAAATTGTAGACAACATAGACCTTACCTAGCAGATGATATTTACTAAATTGTAGACAACATAGACCTTACCTAGCAGATGATATTTACTCAATTGTAGACAACATAGACCTTACCTAGCAGATGATATTTACTCAATTGTAGACAACATAGACCTTACCTAGCAGATGATATTTACTAAATTGTAGACAACATAGACCTTACCTAGCAGATGATATTTACTCAATGACGAATAAGGTTAAACCTCAAGTCTTATATCATCAATCAAAATTAGATTTTCTGTACCAGTGAATTATGGCTGAATAATGCTCGATATTTTTGAGAGAAGAACTTTGATGGGATGATGATTGTTATGAAATAAAGACGACAATTAATATACCATTCTATTGTTTATACAAGATCGAAAGTCCTATGTTAATTATGTTAACAGTATGTTATAAGACAATAGAATATGTAAAAAAGATTATCAGTATCTGTATCATGTATTCTGTCCATGATAACTAAATGCTCATCATTATCCCTATTCCATTGCAAGATATTTTTCCAGGTCATTAGATGTTGTTCTAAAAGTACTTTGGGTTAGATATTGTTTTGATAATACTTTGGATAAAATACTGTTCTAAATATACTTTTCTAAAACTGATTTCATCTAGCAGTTCCGTCCATTTGGGCCAGAAATAGATTAATGAATTGCTTTAATGTTTTTGTAAAATTAATGAACTTTTACCTGGTGATTTTCAGTGATTAATCTTATCATTCCTAAACCTTTGGTACTTCAGATTTCAAGGTCCTAAATGGTACAATACCAATTAAACTGTTATGTTTTGTGATAATTGTTTGATTCAGGGGTGAACTTGTTGCTGCCTAAATCGGTTGTTGCGACCTATGAACAGTTGATCTACAGAGCTGAAACCTTCCCTGAGAACGCTGATGTTAGTTATTTTGAATGGAACTTTGGAGTCCAAGGAAAGCCAAAGCAATCTTATGATCCTTATAAGACACACATGTACACAATTCCTAGCAGGTAAGAATATAGAAAGCTGTGTAGAGTTCTGGGTATTATCTGAAAAACTATCGATTATGAAAGTTATATATTTATCACATGATTCCCTTGTGATTAAATAACGATACCCACATAATATGTAAAGATACAGCATTACACTTGAGTATTTACCTATTGTGACATAAGGTTAAGGTAATGAAATAACATCACACATTCACAGATTACATTATCACATTACCATGGAGATTGCAGAGTTGAAATCACAATTGCTTCAATTTGATATGGAAAAAATTTTGCTGAACAGGCAATCATGTGATACAAGGGATCTTAAAAAAAACTTGTTTCCAAATGGAAATGTTTCTGGGGTCTTTTAAATGGAACAGTGTTATTTGTAAGAAACAAACCTTTTTTCACTTATTCTTTTTGTTAAACTATTCGGAACTGTTTTCTCCCTGATCTTTGTTTTGCTCTGAATCTCATCATTTATGTGTGTTTCTCATCAGATAATTTCTTTTTTCTTTTCAGGTATACTGTAACAGTATCAGCTTATAATTCTTTAAGTCGTGTTGAATCAGAACCAATGTTTATTTTTGTCCAATCACCAGTCAGTGAGTATCTGGAGATACGATACGATCCAAAAAAGCAACACCATATCGTGAATGAAAGCAGCTCCTTCTCTGTGTATCACTTCAGTGGTAACGACCTTTACTATACATGGAACTTTGGGGATGGAACCCAAAATAAAACTACTAAGTCCAAGACCATGAGTCACAACTATACCGAGTAAGAAAATCTTCTATACATTATTTTCGACATATATTACTACTTTCTTAGACAAATAACTCTACCAGTTTGTTAAAAAATGTCTCTATCTTTGTAGGCAAATATTTGTACCATGTTAGACAAATATCTCTACTTTGTTAGACAAATAAATCTACCTTTTAAGACAAATATTTCTACCATGATAGAGAAATGTTTCTCTACCTTGTTACCAGGTTTAACTGTTATTTATACCAAACATATTATGTTCAGTTAATCAAAACGATTTAAATTACATGTGATCATATGAATGAAATCATGATGTTTTGTTACTGGTATGAGAAATGTTATCCCTTTGATTTGTAAAAAATTAGACTAAAGAAGAACTCCATTCTCAGTCCAATGATTTATCATAACACATTTATAGGATAAATTCAAATTCATATATAAGAAAATTGTTCTTGGTTGCTCATTATATAAGACAAATGAATTAAAAAAGAACTGGTCATTATTTCAGTGTGGGAGAGTACGTCATTCGAGTATGGGCAGAAAATATGCTGAGTATGACATCGGCTAGTGATAACGTTTTTGTACTCGAAAAGAAGTGTGTCAAACCAGAGCTTGTTATACATGGAGAATTTACTAAGGGAGAGAGTGTATCAGTAAGTATTGTGTCTCTTATCTGTGTATACACTTAATTATTGTCCTCAATATTCTGATGAACAGACATGTATTACAACATTTCTGAATGCCTTACATTGTCAACTCATCACCATTGAAATATTTCCTATGATATTCATTTGAAGGTGACATTAAAGAAAATCTATGAACCGAAAATGATGAATATGTTTATGCTGTTTGTTAATTTTAGTTTGTTTGAATAAATAATAAACAAAAACTTTCAACAGATCCATGTGAATCGGTCCAAAGAGTTGTACGTAGAAGTAGAACTGAAGAATGTAAACTGTGATGTAACAAATGCTACAACCTACGAGTGGACATTTTATAACTCCTCTTCTGGACGTGTGGTCCAACTGGACACATTAGAAGAAGATGTACTGCAAAAGAAAGTACTGAGAATACCTGCAAGAGTTTTACCATATGGCACCTACGACCTCAAAGTGACGGTGAGATCAATATATAGTGTAATTGTGATCAGATACTCTGTCACTCTTTGTAATATTTCACTGTGACTTGATTTGATGATTCTGTCTCTATTACATGGTTCTATACCAGATCTACAAGGTTATAGTGGACCGGAAGTACTTAACCCTTACATTTTTATCATAATTGGTACTTATAACCACCGGACTCTGACACACTGGTGTAAGTGTGTAGACTATGACAAACAGTTATTCTGTCTGCTGACTAATCCTTGTTTGGAAATAGATGTATTTTTTTTGTGGTGATAGACATTGCCTCCTTCCTACCTCCCCTCCCTCCCCTCCCCTCCTCTCCCCTACCTCCCCTCCCTCCCCTCCCCTCCTCTCCCCTACCTCCCCTCCCTCAATCCCTTCATTTATTTATTTTTGATATGGATTTATTCTGAAATTCAGATGTCATGATTGGGAAGACTCTTCTCTTTAAGAACATTTTGTTTTGACGCTGGATGTAAAGGTGAATTACAGCGGGGATAGAAGCTGTCTGGTTGTGTAGTTGATACCTACTACCCATACATCAACACACCCCAACACATTTATACATGTCAGATATAAAGTACCAGGTACGGAGCGACCAATTAGTGTGATCGATGACATTCTCACAATTTTTTGCCGTACTGTTTTAGAGTACAAGAACCATGGTACTGATCTGTAACCTATGCTAGACCTGGCTGAGTTTTGTAGTGCGGCCTCTTCGACGCCTTATTGTAACTCAGGAACATGCCGAGTTTCACAAACCATCCTACTCGCTGTTAATTTCTCACATCATGAGCTGCCAAGCTTCAGTGTGGCATGATTTGTTAAAATTGAAAATCAATATAAAGATTAAATCAACAGAAATTGTGTGATTGATCGCCTGCATTTTACTGATGTTATTTTTATGTTTTGTTGAAATCGAGTGGCAACATTTAAACAGCCTTAGACCGTGCAGCAATGGATTCAGGAACAGGAGATCTAATAGCCGATACAACTTGGACATGAATTGTTTAAGGGTTTATAATCAGATTGTCATGCATACAGACAATATATATGCATTTTGAACCATTCTATGGTATATAGAGTTTCATTTTCTGATGATATGGTGACCATATAATGTCTTTCGGAACAATTGCAGGCTAGTGGTGTGTTGGGCATTTTTGGAGGATTTTGTAGTATGAATCTAATGTGAACTTTTGTTTTTTCATGTTTCCAGTAAATATTCTAAAACTTATTTTTGGTAATATTTTCGAGAAAAAATAATTTGAAAAAAAAAAAACATTATCTATTCAAATTAACTGATAATTATCTTAATCATTGAAAAATCACTTAATCAACTTGGCTAGCTAATTAGTAAGACAAAAAAAGGAAAACAATATCCTGCGAATATTCACAGTTGAATTTTTTTCTGGAAGAGAACTTTGTGCATTTGTGATATGATTGATGCGGTGATGATTATATCACATGAAATCTAGATTTGTTAACGAGCTTACAGTATGTTATCTTGTAGTATAAGTCAAGCAATACTTGTTGGAGGTATTCATTTATCTTGTAAATGAATGGGAAATGTTCAAGGCTGAACTTTCCAATCAATTTGTAAAGGATCTATACCAGCTCATTTGAGAATGTCCAGGCAAATTGTGAATGAGCAGTTTTATGTCAGACTTTGCCGTGAATGATCATCATGAGTTAATGATGGGAATAAGCCTACCAATCAGATTCACACAATGTCTGCAATATTTGTTACATTGAGTGGTTGTGTTACAGGTAACGGTGAGAGGAACAATTGTTCACTCTGAGTGTCAGACCAAAGTGAGCGTGGATCCTACACCACTAATGTGCTCCATCAAAGGAGGTGTGTACAGAGAAGTGAAACGGGACAGCCTTATTGTTCTAGACGGTGCTAACTCCTTAGACCCAGACACTAACAGTCACTTATCACTCAGGTAAATTGATGAATATTTCACTGTTCTATGTTGGTTCGTGTAAGCAAAAAGGCTATCTCAGAGTTTGTGTTCATAATCCTACTTTTTCCTCAAAAGATTTCTTATCCAGAACAGCAGAAGATAGTTGAACTAAGTATTGTTTATTTGCCTAAGATAATGTTATCTTTATCTCACAATAAGCAAGTGCCTGGAAATAAGCCTAAATGCATACATGACTACTTATTTGCAATGCATATGAGTTGAACATTTCACTGGAATCAGGGTTCCTGTCTGTGTGGAGTGATGTTTGTTAATTATAGTTTCTGATTATTCTTCCAATTCTCAGTACATAATGTTGTAATGGGCAGCTTATTCCTCATAAGTGATGTTTTCTTTGGAGTTATATCCCTTTTATGACATCCTGTTTGTAATTATGCCAGAGTTGATGAATAATAATGCAGATAACCTATGGCTTATATTGATAAAATGTATTTACAGAATCATGCTAAAAGCATTTTCAGTCGCCTATCATTAGATGGTGGGCTATTCAGATTGCCCTATATGAATGGTCCATCTGTTCATTCATTCGTTAATTATGTTTTGTTATTTCTTGAGAAGTACTGAATCATGTGTAGATTCCCCTTGGTCTCTAGTTGTGCCCTTTTGATTTTGGGACTGAGTGAAAAAACAAAAGGTTGACATGCAGCCATCTTGAATTTTGACAAAGAAAGCTTGTTATTGCTGTATCTTGAGTAGTACGGGATGGATCTTTCTCAAATTTCATATATAAGTATCTCATTGTCCCTTGTTGTGGCTATTTGATTTTGGGACTGAACGGAAAAGAATGGCAGAGAAGCAGTTTCAGCATCTAAAGTTTGTTATCACTACTTTGTGAGAAGTCTGGGATAGATCTTTCTCAAATTTCATATGTAGGTTCCCCTATTTGAAGGTTTAGATTTTGTATAATTATAAGAGCCAAAATAGAGAAGAGAGAGGAAAAAAGAGAAAAAATCCAACCTTTAAAAAACAAATAAATCTCTTGTTACTGAAGAAGATATGATGTCAGGACCATATATCAATACAGACATTTTTCTGGAAAAAAAAAATCTTTTTGTCATGAATTTAATGACAATGAAAACCATTAGACCAAAGAAAGCATTAATGGAAGGTAATGGTAGTATTGAGATGAAAGCAACTAGAAAGGAAAATAGATTGCTTCTTAATCTCCATCTTAATCTCCATCACTTAAGGTTTAACTGGACATGCTATGTGGATTTCGATAAAGGAAAACCCTGTTTCAAGGAAAACCTTAGAGATAATGTTTCCATGGATACTGCTGGTATATCATTTCTGGGAAGCTGGCTGAGAGATGATAGAATGGAATTCATGATGATGTTAACACTGTCAGCAGAGAATCGGGACCATGTGGAGTGCTCTCAGATGATCCACATCGGTGACCTACTGGAGTAAGTCACAACATATTGCTGATTTTTGTACAAGTTCTTATCATCCCTACTGGTGCTACATATTGATTTCTTTACGGCCGATATATTACCACATTACCTCTGTACACTGTAAAGTGCATCTTCACAAATGGGAGAATATAAATATCTTATTTGTCAAAAAGCCCATAGTTCATTTTCCTAGCCAAGAATTGCTCTTTCAGTTCGTCCTCATATTTCTTACAAGTTGTAGATGTAATGATATTGAATTATTTATTATGCTATTGTCTAAGACTGGTGGAAGGTAAATGCTTTTGGTTAAGTGTAGAATATGGAATATATATTTTGTTGGAGGATATATATCATATCAGTTATATAATTTTCTACTGAACCAAAATAAAATGCTTTTAAACATTAATATTTACTCAGTAAAATTTGACAGAGGAAAAGTATTGTTCCCATCATTATTTTACAGACAAAAAAGGATAGGAGACTAAGTGTGTTGTTGAAAAACGGTGAATAGACCAGAAATTGAAAACAGATACACTCTAGATAATGAAATTGTTCTTCAAAAAATTTATGTAGGAAAAGATATGAACCATCATATGACATACCTCGATTCTCTACTTAGGATATCGATGTCCAGCTTTACATGTGCATTTAAACAATTTTTTTTCAGACTAAACATTTACTGTCCACAATGCGATCAGTCGTTGGTGAATTGGGACTGGCCATTGTCCTTTCAAGCTGTATGTTCTACCTGTGACTCTTTTGACCTTGAGTATGAATGGACTATGTATAAGGTGCCTGATCTTGGTCAGACTAATGTGAACCACCGATATGACAGGTTCAGTAGAGCGTGTGCCATAGCAGGTCAAACACACATCTCCAAATTAGTTCAGAAGAACGATGTTGACTCGAGTCGCTTCAGAACTGAAGGAGGTATGGTCTCTTACACCTGTGTCAGTGTTCAATCTACTCTAATTGTACTTTGAAAACCATTATATTTACACACTGTTCACACTTATAAGTGTATGCCATTAATCTTATACATTAAAAATCCATATCTCATGTTAATTGATAATTAAGTTTAAAAACCTATTAATTTTGTGACCAAGAATATTAGACTGTTTATGTCAAATGAGGCTGATGATACCTAGGAATATGTGTTATTTTTACCTTGTAACTAATTCTATATAACAGCCTGTCAATTTCCCAAATTTCTACATCTTAACAGGTTTGCCCTTGTTCACTCTCTCAAAACAGAACACCATAAAATTATTAATTTTCATAAATTATTTTGTTTCATTGTTTCCATTGTCGCTTTTAAGTAACAATCCACAAAATAAAGTGTCTATGAAAAAGTATTTTTTGAAAAAACCATGAAAATCAAAACCCACAAAAATACTTTGTTTTACAGTATAAAATAGTATATCTATCCTATCTTTAAACCATGGCAATTAACAGTAATGAATTTTTAGCAGTCACAAAATTTGTGAAAGTAAAACACATGTGAAAGAACATTGATTTACACTGCGGATTGTCTTTTTAAGTAAATTATTTATTAAAGGAGGATTCTAGACACAATTTGACAATCAAAAAATCTAACATGTAAACATGTTCCTTACAGCGAGTCCCAGGTATCCCAGTACCACCACCCCCAGGGCAGTCGGACTTTATTATCCTATTGAGGATCTCAGTGAAGGTAAGGTGTGATAATATTGACATACAGAAATCTACTATATATACTCTTCAGTAAAGGTTAGGATATCTATTGCTATGTAGGGATGTAGTCTGAAAAATCAAATGTTGAAGTAAACTTGTCAAGATGGTTGGATATACCTACCAACCATGTAAAATTAACAAATGCCATCAACCGTGGAAGAAAGAAGAATACACTGTAAACCTCATGATGAACCGCAACACATAGACAGACAGACAGACAGACAGCTAGACAGACAGACAGACAGACAAACTTACCAGCACATTGTTTCTTGGAGAATTTCCCACCTGTCTTGCCAGTTTGTTAAATAAAGTAAATTTTTGCTCTGTTTATAGGGAGATCTAGAGGACAGAAGTTTTCCCCTCTGATATCATTCCAGGAGAGTAGATTGAGTAGACAGAGAGGAGCAGATAATGAACAAAACATATTGGGTACCGCTGATATTCCTGGAAAAGATACAACTTATACCAAATTAGATGTAGTTGATGTCCAACACACAAAAACCAACATGCTTAATACTGCAGATATCTCTCAAATAGACAATGGGCATAATGCTTTTGATATAGGTGACAATTATATAATGGATCATGTTATACATGATATACTGGATTCATCAGATATCCCTCACCAGGACAGCAGACATGACACCCTGGATTCATCAGATATCCCTCACCAGGACAGCAGACATGACATACTGGATTCATCAGATATCCCTCACCAGGACAGCAGACATGACACCCTGGATTCATCAGATATCCCTCACCAGGACAGCAGACATGACATACTGGATTCATCAGATATCCCTCACCAGGACAGCAGACATGACACCCTGGATTCATCAGATATCCCTCACCAGGACAGCAGACATGACACCCTGGATTCATCAGATATCCCTCACCAGGACACCAGACATGACACCCTGGATTCATCAGATATCCCTCACCAGGACAGCAGACATGACATACTGGATTCATCAGATATACCTCACCAGGACAGCAGACATGACACCCTGGATTCATCAGATATCCCTCACCAGGACAGCAGACATGACACCCTGGATTCATCAGATATCCCTCAACAGAACGGCAGACATGACACCCTGGATTCATCAGATATCCCTCACCAGGACAGCAGACATGACACCCTGGATTCATCAGATATCCCTCACCAGGACAGCAGACATGACACCCTGGATTCATCAGATATCCCTCAACAGAACGGCAGACATGACATACTGGATTCATCAGATATCCCTCACCAGGACAGCAGACATGACACCCTTGATTCATCAGATATCCCTCACCAGGACAGCAGACATGACACCCTTGATTCATCAGATATCCCTCAACAGAACGGCAGACATGACACCCTTGATTCATCAGATATCCCTCACCAGGACAGCAGACATGACACCCTGGATTCATCAGATATCCCTCAACAGAACGGCAGACATGACACCCTTGATTCATCAGATATCCCTCAACAGAACGGCAGACATGACACCCTTGATTCTTCAGATATCCCTCACCAGGACAGCAGACATGACACCCTTGATTCATCAGATATCCCTCACCAGGACAGCAGACATGACACCCTGGATTCATCAGATATCCCTCAACAGAACGGCAGACATGACACCCTTGATTCATCAGATATCCCTCACCAGGACAGCAGGCATGACACCCTGGCATCAATAGATATCCCTCAGCAGGACGGCAGACGTGATACCCTGGATTCATTAGATATCCTTCAATGGAATGGCAGACATGACACCTTGTCATCATTAGATATAGCTCAGCAGGACAGCAGACATGACACCCTAGATTTATCAGGTATCCCTCAACTGAATGTCAGACATGGCACTCTGGATTCATCAGATATCCCTCACCAGAACGGCAGACGTGACACCCTGGATTCATCAGATATCCCTCACCAGGACAGCAGACATGACACCCTTGATTCATCAGATATCCCTCAACTGAATGTCAGACATGACACCCTGGATTCATCAGATATCCCTCAACGGGACAGCAGACATGACACCCTGGATTCATCAGATATCCCTCAACGGGACAGCAGACATGAAACCCTGGATTCATCAGATATCCCTCAACAGAACGGCAGACATGACACCCTTGATTCATCAGATATCCCTCAACAGAACGGCAGACATGACACCCTTGATTCATCAGATATCCCTCACCAGGACACCAGACATGACACCCTGGATTCATCAGATATTCCTCAACGGGACAGCAGACATGACACCCTGGACTCATCAGATATCCCTCAACGGGACAGCAGACATGAAACCCTGGATTCATCAGATATCCCTCAACAGAATGGCAGACATGACACCCTTGATTCATCAGATATCCCTCGCCAGGACAGCAGACATGACACCCTTGATTCATCAGATATCCCTCAACAGAATGGCAGACATGACACCCTGGATTCATCAGATATCCCTCAAATGGAGAACAATGATAAGACATTAAATGCAGCAGATATCCATCATATAGTGGATTCCCATTTCAACATGTTTAGTAAGTTTAAATCATATTCAAAATGATTTTTTCTTAACTGAATTAGAGAAAAGAAGTGTAAGAGTTATCTCTCTTTTGTATACATTTATTCTGATTTATGTCTCCTTGGGATACAAAGAGAGTGGACGGCATACCACACATGTCAAAGGTGAAGGTAATATTATTCATAACACAAATTTGTTTCATTTATATTGTTGAATATTGTTTTTTAAAAAAACTTCATTACTCATTTCAAAGAAAAGTAATACATTTTACAACAGAGTATTTTTTACATATGCTTTTGTTTGTTTCTTTAGATTCAATAATTGAAGAAAACACTAGAGTAGAAAGCTCACGTCGTAAGCCTCTCCCTCACACAGACATGTTTGAATTAAAAGAGGGCACACCTGGGGAGGAGGGCAGCTCCATTGCACGTAATCCAGGTAGGTCATGGTCTTCACTGCTTCTTTAGTTCATTGTTACCAGGAAGGTCAAATTCATTAATTATTTCATTGTTAGGTTGTGATCAGGTAGATGAAGGTCATCACCGCTTCGTTGATACGTTTTGACCAGTAGGTAAAGGTCATCACACTTTCATTCATAGATTGTGACCAGGTAGGTGAAGGTTATCACCCCTTCATTCATAGATTGTGACCAGGTAGGTGAAGGTTATCACCCCTTCATTCATAGACTGTGACCAGGTAGGTGAAGGTCAGCACCCCTTCATTCATAGATTGTGACCAGGTAGGTGAAGGTTATCACCCCTTCATTCATAGATTGTGACCAGGTAGGTGAAGGTTATCACCCCTTCATTCATAGACTGTGACCAGGTAGGTGAAGGTCAGCACCCCTTCATTCATAGATTGTGACCAGGTAGGTGAAGGTTATCACCCCTTCATTCATAGAATGTGACCAAGTAGGCGAAGGTTATCACCCCTTCATTGATAGGTTGTGACCAAAATAAGTAGGTGAAGGTCATCACTACATTGATTTCAGTGATCAAAATTATTAAATATAGTTGCCCATGGTTGTCTTCACTAAAAGTATCTGTGATTTCCTAAATGCTATCATAAGGATGAAGCAATAGAGTTGATATACTATCAGTTGTTGTGGAAAATAAGTGGATTAATTGGATGTGCCTTTCTCTTTTACCTCTCTACAGCTTATGACAATGACATATTTGAAGACAAAACCTCTGGTAATCGACAGAAGCCAGCTTTAGAGGATAATGGTATGTATCACTGGTTTTCTTTCATTTACTGTTTTTTTGTAAAAAGGGAATGCACCCTAATCATTTGACGTTACTGCCTTTGTTTCTATACTGAAGTCAGCTGGTATAAATTGTATGTAGTATAGATTTAAGGACTGTGTCACACTGCTGAATGTCAAATATCCATTTGGTACTTCTTGTCCAACATAAGTCGTGTTTACAACAGTGAAAATGATGTTCACAGACCTTACAAATGCCTGATGCTTTCATTTATACACAGTAAATTAATTATACAGAGTAACTACAATGATTCTCTGATTCACGTGGAGAACCTCATGTTAATGGTAGTTTTAATAGGGCACCAGAGATGTGGATGCCACAAAGTAATGGAGTTGTCCATTTGTTTGTCTGTTTGATTTCCATCTTTTCACAATACATATCTAATACAATCTTTTGGAAATTTTGTGTAAATATTTTCTCAAGTAATATTCTTCTGAAGGACTTACGTGGTCCTCATGACATTCAATCAGTACGTTTATACTTCAATCTTAAATAATGTACATATTCATGTGAATAATTGAGATGAAAAAGGACAATACTTACAGACACTTTAATTTTGTTAGAGCAAAAACAACATGATGTACAACAATTTGATTTTGTCTTTGTCAGAAAATAGCGGTACCCCTGAGGACGAAGTTTACATAGGAGGGTCAAATAATTTTGCCCAAGAGAAACACATTCTAGAACATGCCCACTACCCCTTGCTGCTGCGGTGGAATGCCACATTAACTGGTCTTAACAAGAGGTCACTTGTCCTAAAACCAAACAACGAAGCTATCGAGCAAGGAAGCACATACATCATGTATGTTAAGGCTACAAGTAAAGGTGAGTAAGATGTGGATGTATTTTAGGCAGACTTGGAGTTGACTTCAGGTACGTTTATTCATCAAGGGGTTTAGAAAAGTGTTGTTGAAGGAATGTTGAATAAAATGTTGAGTTAGTGTTGTCAAGAATACTGATCAGAGTGTTGATGGAAATATTGACAGGAATGTTAAGAGAAATGTTGACAATATTTAGATACAGGTGTTGAGTATGGTCTAGAACATAGAGAGAAATGCTTCATGTGTTTGACTCTAATTTAGATACAAGTGTTGAGTATGGTCTAGAACATAGAGAAATGCTTCCTGTGTTTGACTCTAATTTAGATACAAGTGTTGAGTATGGTCTAGAGAACATAGAGAGAAATGCTTCCTGTGTTTGACTCTAATTTAGATACAAGTGTTGAGTGTGGTCTAGAACATAGAGAGAAATGCTTCCTGTGTTGGACTCTAATTTAGATACAAGTGTTGAGTATGGTCTAGAGAACATAGAGAGAAATGCTTCCTGTGTTGGACTCTAATTTAGATACAAGTGTTGAGTATGGTCTAGAGAACATAGAGAGAAATGCTTCCTGTGTTGGACTCTAATTTAGATACAATTGTTGAGTGTGGTCTAGAACATAGAGAGAAATGCTTCCTGTGTTTGACTCTAATTTAGATACAAGTGTTGAGTGTGGCGGTTCTTTAGTGTTGTTATCCGAATCTTCTGAATTATTGCTATCCTTATTATGCTGTATGCTAATATGAGCATTTTCTAGTATTGAATATTATTATCACAGATCACCTTAATTCTGTCATCTGTCAATCCTTTCATCCATAAGCAAGTCTTGTTATCGCTATTTCTTGAGAAGTGCTGAATAGATATTTCTCAAATTTCATATGTTAATTCCTTTGGTCACTGGTTGTGTCCACCGGGACTGATCAGAGGAAAGAAATGGCTGACAGGTGGCCATCTTGGATTTTAGCAATGAGAGTTTGTTTTGGCTATTTTGAAGGAAATACTTGATGGATCTTTCTCAAATATTTATATGTTGATTTCCTTTGGTCCCTTGTTGTGCCAAAGTAATTTGAGACTGATCAGATTTTTTGGCTATTTCTTTAGAGGAACTTGTTGGATCTTTCTCAAATTTTGTACCTAGGTCCCCATTGTCCCTTATTGTGCCCTTCTAATTTTGGGGCTGATCAGAAAATGTGTTTAAAATGTATGTAGAACACTTGGTCAGGTGAGTATAGAGTCCTTAGGACAGTCCTGTTTTATTGTGTGATGATCAGGTCATATTATCTGTGTCTCTTTTTTTTTTTCATTAGTAATTTTGTTTAAAGCTGAATAAATATGGCTGGAGTTTTTTTATTGTTATTTGAATTTCCTTAGGAAATATTTATTAGAGCGGAATGTGTTATTTTAGAAAGTCGATGAAGAATAAAGCTAGAGATAATAAAATTTTTACACAAATACATCATCATCAGTCAATTGTAGTTTTTCCGGGCGCTAGTAAAACGTTAGTAAAATTCCATCTTTAAAGGGCACATGCTACAGAAGAAGAACACTCGATTAGATTAGAACATATACTTGTCAGTTTATCGTTGTCATTTGTAGTGCTAGTGATGTAAACCGTAGAAAGACGGACGTGGAAGTTGTACACAGCAGATATATACATGCTTTGATGTATTGCTCATGGTACAGCCATTTCTCATTCCACAATTCAACGCACAATTTTACGACCACCGACAATGTCTTTTATGAAGATATTTCCATTTTTACACAGGCTTTAGTACCTTGTAAAACTTAAGGCATACAATTGTTCATTTCCCTTAGATATTTAATAGAATTAGACCCTCATCTCGTCCATATTCCATTTCCTTTTGTTGGCTTAAATGTGTTTTTCACGAATGAGTTGATATCATAGAGACAGAGGAAGTAAGCACAACACCCGTCCTAAGCATGGCGGCCATGGTACTGCATCATCGTTCTACACAGAACCAAGTACATAGCATCAAATGTATACAACCAAGGCCTGACTTGATATCAAGATTTTTCGTGCCTTTTTATCTAATATACTTCATTTTCCTTTCATCAAATGAATAATGAAAAAGAATCTTTTGTTTGGCTTTTATACTGCTGAATTTCTGGGCAGTCATTACTCATCAATATCTGGTCTCCAAAACATGTACGGAGATGAGGTTTAAATCTCAGTAAAGCCCAAGAGTGCTTTTGAGTGAAGTGGTGGAAGTAGGTTGTAGACAGGGCTTAATTAAATAATGGCTTTGAGTTTCTCAATATGCTTTCATCTGGGGCAATGTTTATAGATGTTAGAAAGACAGGAGATTGTTTAACATTGGTATTGATTACTGTTGATTCGGGAGAGTTTGGCTGATCTTATTGGAATGTATTGCTGCCCTCTAAGGCTTGATTACATACTCCAGCAATTAGCTGTAAATGTCAAGGCCAGTCATATGACCCCGGAAAATCTTGGTCACTTTTTTTTTTTTTTCAAATGATCTGACAAATCTACTGCTGATTTGGCTCAGACTTGTCTGTGTGACTTTGTGTTGTCAGTCACTGAGATCCATCGCAGAAAGCAAGGCTTAAGTGCTGAAAAAAAACAAAAAGAGTCTGTGACATGACCTGGCCAGTCTTGTTTTTGAGTCACTACACTCATTTGACCATACACATGGTATTTTCTGGTAAGTATGGTCAGGTGATTTTATGAGTAAAGTACTCATTTGGTTATTCAGTAATAGTTTTTGGCAATATATTTTGACAGAAATCTTTTTTCTTATGACAGATGGTTTGGCTAAAGGTCATGCGATGGCACAGTTTAGGGTCAACCAGAGTCCTCACCAAGGTGATTGCAGTATCAAACCAGACTCAGGCGTTGAGATGTCCACTGAGTTTACCATATTTTGTAAGGAATGGAGGGATGTTGAGGAGGTATGTGTTATTTATTAAGACTAAAATTGAACTTTTATTTCTAATTAAATCCTTCTTGCCAACATAATTTGAAAAACTAGGTGATATTCATTTGTACAAAGCATGCTAGACAGCAAGTGGATGTCAACAGAAACAGCAGAGATTTGTCACAGTTTTAAAAGTTGGTGAATAATTATACCATATTACTGTAAAAAAACAGTGTTAGGTTATTAACAATATAAAGCTTTCTGAAATTGAGACTCTATCTTACATCGACTCGAAATACATGACTTGGCTTCCTTCCACAAATCACCAGAAAACAAGCAGGCTAGAAGGAAGGAGAGTAGACAGCTTCAAATCAAACTTGACTGAGAAAACACTAAATGTAGACATGTTCAGACCATGACAAATTTAACAGGTCTGTAAAGCAGAGAGTACTGTTCACCTCCAAGATCACACATGTGAATGCCATCATTTGAAGAAGATAGGATGGTGAGGACTGGGGTCACACAATATATATCCATGTTCACACATCTATTTACACCAGCAAGCATCATATATAATACCATGATGTTTCGCTGTAGAATCATAAAGATGCTAAAGTGAAATGGCAGCCTGTTTAAAATTTAAAATTTAATCTTTTCTGTGTTTTTCTTTTTCATCTCTCAAGCATTTGCCGCTTTGGTATGAAGTGAGTTACAACTTGGAGGAAACTGACGTGCGATATGTGATCTACCGCGGACTACGATCGTCCATTAACTTCATACTTCCAGCCGGAAATCCCAACAACAACCATCGAGGTATGTGTCATGGCCACATCTGGGTCATCCTAGTGCTTGTGAATAATTGCTGTAAGCATGCTGATGTAAGCCTGTGTCTGAAACAGACTGAACTATACATCATTAATCAGCCACAAAGTTGGAGTCCTGTTAGCTTTAGTCAGTGTTGTAGTCGCGGTCACATCAAGGTCATTTTTAAAAATGCTCTATCTGAACTTCATGATTCTTTCAAAGTACTTCAGTCAGTTCAGTCTATTTTGAGAAAATAAATGTTTTTCTGAATTCAACCAAACTTTTTGCTTAACAGTATTTTTGTGTTTTGTTCAAAGTTTTTCTTCATAGGAGAACTTTGCAATGAAGTTCCACTCTGGTGTGTCCGTCATCTTTTTTGCTTTCGTCAGCTTCTTCTAGAAAACTTTAATCACCTCCTGGGTCCCAATGTGTGACTAGTAGGTTCTGTACCTAGGATGGTGTGCCATGAAGATTCTTGTAATTGATGAACAGGGTTCAATGCCACATGGGTCAAGTTTGCTGGAAACTGAAAACAAGACATTTTTAGATACATAATGGTTATAGGAATGATTCTAGGATAATTAATGTAGACCTGCATTATGGATTTATTTTACTTAATGTGTTAATATCAGATGTCAGCTTTGGCTAAAGGATTAAAGATAATATGTAACTGATATAAAACCTAGAGGGAATCTATATCCGGTCCTGAAGACCATGGGATCAAGTGATATTTAAAGGTTACTGTTAACAACATTTTGTAGATATCAATATTTTGACATAGATATCACCTAGGTAGTACCCTGATTCTATTTTCACCTCTCGATACGATTGTTGTCGAGTCCGTTCGGCTATAGGTGAGTGGCTTTCTCCGCCTTAGAGAGTGGACATTAAACCCTGATGATAAACCCTAATATTAACTATAATGTGTATCAGAATATAATGAGATTGATTCTTTCATCTCAAAATTCTGACAGAATAGTTATATATTCTTCCAATTACTCATTTACATACTTCATTGTTATAGTATATTATGAAAAGTTTACTTATAGCAGGGACGGATACTATGTATATGTTGATCCCTGTTCATTGGTTGCATTTATGAGGTTTCCTAAGTTTTGTTTGAAAAAAATATATATGTACTACAATTAAGTTGTTTTCGCTGTTAATGCTTGACTACATGGTACCAATTGGTTTTAGTCTCCTTGTTCTAGTATAGCACAGGCAAACACTGAATATCAATTATATGATACGTATATATTTGTACGTTTATTGTCCTATGTGTGGATGTTGATATGTTGTATAGCATGTGTGCATATGTTACTATGAAATTTGTACACTTCTCCTAAAGATAAAGTTCTGCTCTGTGTTTTTCTTTGTCTTTCTACCGTGACTTTTGCTCTGTATATTTCCTGCCCAGAATGAAGAGAGCACAGGAACTACAAGATATGAGATTTATTTTTTGACAATCGTTTATGTACAGATAGAAAAAATACATTAGCTATGTAGAGTTAATTTATTACCTTTAATTAGCTGTTACATGGGATGAAATCTATACAGATTCTTTATCTAAATGACCTTGAATTATACTTTCAAGATCAGAAAGGTGGAGTATGTTTAAAAGTGCTGAAATTGATTTTTAAAAGTCTCTTTATTATACTACAAGAACCAAGATCAGTTTAAGTGACAAGTAGGTACCACAATGGAATGGAGAGCTTTTTGAATTCATCCTGTCTATAGGTCACCTTGGCCTTATAGGTCACAAGTGTCAAACTGTTGACTTCTAAAGTTAAATATGTACATCAGTTAAAAACTTAAAAGATCCTCCTCGTTTTAAGAAATTCTATGTAAATCAAATGATGCCTGAAAACCACAGATACTTAATTGGGAAAACCAGAATATCAAGAGCAATACTTTTGGGATGATTATGCGATGTAAACTAGTAATTTATCATTTCTTATATATATTGGCTCCATGTACACTATCATCCATGTGAGCATTACAGGTCTTCTGGACCCCTTGTTAGCCTTTGCTGTTAATGGTATGAATCTACCATCAGTTAACGTCACTACTTATCAATTTCAGTAACCTCAGAGTTTATGAATATTTTATAGATGTGATTAAAGACATCTATGTGCCTATGAACACTCTGAATTATTTACTACATAAAAAAAGACCTCTGACTTTACAAAAAGCACCAGTTCTTGAAAGTGTCATATTTGAGACATTTTCAGAAGATAAATATTTAATTTCAATGGAATGTTGGGTGATGTTGTAGATGGAGCTATGTTACCTGTTAATGTGTAATATCATGATAGAAGTATCGGGAGCTATTTCTTCAATCCAATTTGTTTGTATGATCAACAAGTGGGTGGATATGATGACAACAGAAAACATCAAAAACTGTTAATACCGTAGTCAGTGCAGCTGTATTAATGGGTACCAGCATCTAAGCTAAAATAATTTCTTGATATATCTTTGACTGTATATTACAGAGCAGTTCCTTTTGAAAGAATAAACATTTGAATCTGAAGAACCTTTTGTCAATACAGTTTGTGAGGCTGTCTATTCTAATGTAATAACGTTTGTATTTTATTAAAAAAAATGTTCAATTTGTTGCAGAATAACGCATATTTAAATGGCAATCTGCTTCATGAAAAAGTTTGAATTATAGTTTTGTGTTGTAGTAGATGTCATATTGTGGTGGCATTCTGATAATCAGGGACCATATTAAGAGAGATGATATAAATGAGAGTGAATGTAGCAGTTAATGCCTGATATTTGATGTGTGTATGATATTTGGATTCATCTTAAACAATATAATTTTTGTGGACATGTTATATAACTGAATCAAGCCTTGTGTTGAAATATATGAGCTAGCATATTAATTACCGTTTTGACAAACTGCTACAGGCGTGGTTTCTCCGAGTTTGTGAAACTTGATTACTGAAGCAATATGTTGTATTCAACCGTTTCCATATCAGCCTGTCATCTGATGTGTGTAAAGGGTGCTGCAGGGCTAGTCGCGAATCAGAATAAAATGCTTGGTATCGTTGGTTGAACGGTAATGATTATAGATGTAGACAGAATACTTAAGTGTCTATATTAAAGACCCCTGGCCGTTCAACATGTTTGTAAATCAAATTTAAAGTTTTAACGTCAGATATGGATATTTGGATAATAAATAACAAAACAAGTTCTCTTTGGGGATAATTGCCATCTTGCTGTAATGCCTGTGTGTGTGCTGAAACTGTCAGACATAAATAAAATCCTACTGTTCTTTGGGATGTGTATTCACGAGACAAGCATGAAACATGTCCCTCAGGAATTTACCATGCTTATACATGAAATGTATTGTTACAGAAAAGAAACAAAATATTGGGAAATGGAAGAAAAAATTCACAGTGAAATTACATGTGATGCAATGTAGAATCAGTGAAAGCCATCCAAAATGACAGCACTCATTTTTATAAGCATATGAGATATTGTTTAGTAGCTGGCTATAATTATATATTGTGAACTAATTAGACATTCTTTGATATTTCAGTGTTTTTTTCTTGTTGTCAGTAGCTTGAACCTTCTTTTAAGTGCGGACTTTAGATAAGCACAGGGATAAAGCTGTTGCTGGTTATATGATGTTTTACCTTTTTTAATTTTGACATTTTTCTGATAACAACTGATACAATTTTAAGTGCAAATTTTATGACAAATTATCCTGGGTATAATTAGATAGAGGTAACTGTTTTATCCTGTCAGATTTAAGACTGCATTGTCTCAATGGTACAATCTATGAAATTTATTGTTGATTAATATGAGTTTGTCCTGCTGAAATCATCTACTGTGAATTGGGAGGACTATTTTCCTGCTGGAAACAATTTCCACAAATGGACAGAACACAAAGGAAAATTCTGATTTTACTTGTTTTTGCACATTCACCACTTCCTTTTTTGAAAGGTTAAAGTGGGATGATTTTTTGGATGATATTTTAACTGAATAATTGTGTTTCTTAGTCTTGAATGTGCCAGTAAATCTTAACAAAAATCAGAATAGAATCTGTTACTACTGGAAAGGTATTTATAAACTTCTACACCAATTTTCCATCCCCAACGACTTGGAGACATTGATTTCTACACCGGTTCTCCTAGTTTACTTAACACACAGGAATTGATCCATGCCTTAAATTAGCTATGTCTGTTGACCGAATTGGGACACTTCACCTCCCTTCTCTGACCATACTGATGGATTTGATCTCATTGATTGAATGAAGTTCTATTATAGCAGACATTACCAGGGCAACCAAATTTTTCTTTAACATTTATGTGAAAGGAGACTTCTGTTGTTAGGGAACTTCTGGTGTTATGTAGGAGAATTACCTAGTCATGGAGTTGGACTTCTGTTGTCATTGAGGAGAACTGTTGTAATGGAGGTGGAATTTTGTGGTCTTCTGTTGTTAAGTGGATTTTGTTTTTATTGAAGCGGGCTTTTGTTAGTAAAATTCTGTTGTCATGGATGTAGGCATCATTTGTCATATAGAACAATCACTTGTCATGGACTTCTGGTGTTAGGTAGGCGAACTTCTGTTGTCATGGAGGTGTATTTGTGTTGTTCGAAAGGAGAGTTCTGTATTATTGCAACAGAGGTGAGCTTGTGTTGTCTCCTGTTGCTAGATGGACTTCTATTGTGAACCGCTTTTGTCAATGAGGTGGATTTATATTTCTGGTTGATGAATTCTGTTGTCATTGTATAGAACTGCTGTTGACATGGAGCTGATCTTTGCCTTATTAAACACAATCATCCTAACTACCTTTTGTTTATCATATATACTTCCTGTTATGCACAAACCCCCTAAACTATCTGCATCCATCCTACAATGGCTCTGTCCGCCCTACAATGGCCCCACTGCCCCACAATGGTCCCACCGCCCCACATTGGCCCCACCACCCTACAATGGCCCCACCGCTATTTCACTGAGATCGACCCACCTTTTATCAGCCCAATCACTCACACAACTG